GAAGTTGATTTTTTCCTAATCTCTTGTTGCCACTCAAAAAAAAAAAAAAAAATCGAGCTTGCTACTCAAATCAATCGCTCTCTGCTCTTGATGCGTGCAGTGGGAGACAGGTGTCTCTGATTTGACGCGAGGATCAGACGGCTCTACCTCTATTTGTATGTACGCACACCGTGTATCAGGGCTGCAGACGAGCGTGACGAGCGTCTGAGCGACAGCATCCGGAAGCTCGGAGATAAGACGTAATCTGGCGCCAATTATTTGTCCTTGACAGGCACAGGTAGGCAGCAATCAGCTCCGGTGACATGTGTTCTCAGTCAATAGTCCTGGCCCCAGTGGGTGGTGAGAGGCTGATTATGAGGTGCTGAGCGGAGGCAAACACAAAGCTCGGGGCTGATAAGGCTTCCCGCTGCTGTTCCGCCCCTCTGATATCTGCACTGACCTTTCCCTCCTGTGCGCTCACACTTGCAAAGACACACTGGAGTTCAGTCGCTCGGCACGCACGGAAACGCGTGCATACGCTCAATGTGCCAGTCTTGGGTTTGTCCTGAAAATGTTGGAGCCACAGTGGAGAAGCTGTTGGATTAGTTTGCATAAAGGCAAAGCAGTGGGAAACAGGGTACTACCCAGCACGTCTAAAGCTCTCTAAATTAAGATATTATACATCATTCATTGACAAAATAGGAATTGCTTTTTAAGAGCAGGACAAACTCCCTTTCAAACCCCAATTTATCCCTTTTACACTTTGTGTACAGAATAAAAACATTAACGGTAACTTTCAGTTAATCGACTGAGCTTTAGAGATGCTGGTGTGTGTATTTCTTAAGTGATTCAGGGTGCATCTCTCCCCCAATTTACATGAATTATGCAAAGCTAAACTGATTGCTTCCTGGCCTCCATACTTTATGCACAACCACGAGTCGAACAGTCGGTAAATGCAACTTTACTTGTTGCGCTAAAGGGACACATCTGTGCACGCTTGGCTGAAGACAAGCCGCGGCAAGGTGGGGCCGCACCTATTCTTGAGGGGAACACGAGAAGATCGGGGAATTCAGACAACGTGCCAGGGATGCCTGGGCGGGATGTGGGTTTTTCTGCTGCCTGCTTCCTCAGACCGCTCTTCTCTTTCACCCGTAACACAAACACACACACACACACGAGATAGCGGCACGAAGTGGTCTCCGAGTACTGGACGTCTTTCGACGTCTCCTTTTAAAGAGTAAAAACCCAGAGGTCCCTTTTTGAGGGTGACCGGGGCAAAGCGCGCCGTGGTGCAAATTTTGGCTGGAAGGTCACATGTCTTGGCTGCACAACAAAGCAGAAAGTGACACAGAGGGATCACGTCAACAGGTGGACAGAACACGGGCCCAGTTTACCAGCAGGCGTCACTCATACTCTGGCGCGGTCGAAGGAACGGATTAATTTTTTTAAAATAAAAAGGATCATCATTAAACCAAAGACAATTCACACACTCTAAAAGGAGCAAGGCGGTTTAGATGCGTCTCCCAGCGGGTCTGGTATTGATTACAAAGACCTTCGAAGGGAAACTCTGTGCCAAGCACCAGATCCCGAGACAGACACCTTTCCACCGTCCTTGCAGAGTTTACCAGCTGGTTGTATATTTAACCATTTGACCAAAAAATATCAAGGCCGGGTTTCGTTTGGTGACATTTTTCTCGGCATCGGCGGTCTGCTCAAACTGCAACACACAGGAATGTTTCTGAGAGCTTGAATTCGTTCTGATAATGGAGCGTATGAGCGCTTTGAGGTGGACTGTTATCTTATCTCACAACGCCACAGGCATTATTTCAAAGGAAAAAGTATTTTAGCATGTCTCATCTCGCACAGGTACAGCATTTCTCCTCATTGCCACTTCATTTTCACAGATCCAAATGGCGAGATGAATAGAGTTTGTGAACCGTAGACTTATAACGCCCTCGTATTTCAGGTAAAGGAACATGTGGTATTTATGTAGGCTTAACATTTACTTTGGATCTGGTCCTGGTTGCCGTATACACTCTATTTATGATTATTTATGTCACGCATGAGGATTTCCTACAATGTAATTTGATGTGGTTGCCTCCAGTAATGCTGTGTAATGTACATACAGGTCTACATGTATCACCCACTGACTAAATTTACACTTTGGGCCTGCATTTACTCTTTGAATTGCCAGTTTATTTAATTTAGTTATTAGCAGGGGTTTCCACAAGAACATATTTGTTAATTTTCATGTAAATATAAGTCTTTTTCTGTTATGTGACAGTGTCTCTCACTAGCGGTTAAGTTTGGAAAAATATTAGGGAAGAATAGTGCGTTTAAGAAATAGATAATAAATAGATAGATATAGAATAGATAAATAAACCGCAATTGGCTGTAATTTCCTGCCAATTTTCGGAAAAATTATTTTGTGTTGGACACAAATTATTTAAACATATTTTTCAATCAAATAATGTTACTGCCAACAAAGGTTTATCAGTAAGCTACAAAGTCAAAATGTTTCTACATTTACTTTTTTGAAATGAAGTCGTCTCCAGAAGCAACAGATGTTGAATGGAGCTCAACTTAAGGAGAGGGAAACGGATGAAAGGTTGTCAGACACTCAGTAGCTGCTAACTAATAATGCGATTTGATAAATGTTTATTCCTAACCGGTACGTCCTCTGTCCGCCTGTCTAGTCCGTCTGATCCGTCCGTCTCTCCGCACCCGTTGACCCTTTCGGTGACCTGACCGCTGTCCGGCTATAGGGACACGTAGGTGGGCTCCCGTTCAGACGTCTGGGAAAATGAGACGGGACGCTCGTGGTGAAGTGCAGTCTTAGTCTTTTATCTGCGGACGTGTCTTGTTTTTGTGCAATCATAGATTTTAACTCTGAACATCATCGTCTTTTCATTTTGCCGTCACCGCCTGCGTCCCGTGAGCTACTTTACTGGGCTCCATGCATGTGTTCATATTCACGGCTGGGTAAAAAGGTTCAAGCCAAAGTCAATTGAATTTATAATCTTTAAAATATCAATTGCTGGCGTTAAAAGCATGGTGCATTAGTGTTGAAGCAAACCCTTTAGGGGCCTTTTGTCCTTGTCGTCCTCCATTTAAAAAAAACACAGTATTTCCTGAAACTTCTTCACAACACAAGCAATGTAATATTTCCCCGGTTGAATGATTTCAATGTAAATTAACAGCAGTGGGAAATGTTTGCATTACACCAGCAACGGGTCAGGCAGTGGCTAAGTGCGCCTCCCCAGATTTCCCTAAAGCGGTGCGACGTGTTCATTGTTATTTTCTGGCCAAAGTTTGCCGCCATGTTGCAGTTTTGACCTTTTTAATAAAAGGTCATACAATCCAAATCCATTCACCTTAGGCTCCAGGCCTACTGTTTCTCATCCCAGTCTAGAAACATATTTATCATCAAAATTTGAAATATTATGCCTTTTACTCAAATATTTACACATCTTGCAGGTTTAGCAGGTACATCATTTGTTAATAAATTTGTTTGTTCATTCATTTGTTAATAAAATCGTAGTAGTAGTGGTCAATTTATTAATAAAGTATAAGCTCCTTATTTAAGACGTCATCGTTCTCTTTGTAATTATTATGTTTTATTTTATATCAGTGGGAGATCTTAAAACCACTGAGGTTTTTTTTCATTCATGCTGAAGAACGATCGTCCACACCGTGACTTTTGTGTGGCTGCGACGGTACTGAGGGTTGAGACAAGTATTAAAGCACGTGTGCGTTTTGAGGCAACTTATGATAATTAGCTGCGTGGCAGGCATGTCTATTCCCATTTACTACCTTATCCCCCCCGCTGCATGCAGGGACGCTGCAGCGGGAATTTCACAGTTCCTGAAGGCGCTCAGAACACCAGCGGCCGAGAAGCTTTCTGTCAGAGGTTCCCTGTCAGTGTTTCAAAATGCGCCGTGCTGCTCGGAGAAGATCATGTTGCCCTTTTATTCCCAGGAAATTAACAAGACATTCGACTTTCTCCTGGACAATAAAAGCCGTTTGAGGAAGTCTCAAACTTTGCCGAGAAGAACAGCGGGAGCGTTTGTCTGGTCCCATCGAAAGTGGAACGTGAACGCGTCCCTCTATCCGGTCCTCGGGCTTTTCCCCGTGAATAGAACAGCACAAGTAGAGGCTCCACTTTCCCGAGCTTAGTTTTGAAAGAGCGCAGAGAGAGAAAGCGAGTCCTCCTATCAGATTCTCCTAACAGCTCGGTAGGTAATGAGAGGAGTGGGAGAAGAACGGCTTTCCGCACACCACATCTCCATTTACCCACCCCCCCCCCCCACCACCGTGCACCCCGGGTGTAACTTAAGCTCGCGCTCACCCACCAGGGAACTGCTCACAACAGCATGTGAACCATTTTCGACACGTTTTTATGTCAAAATAGGATGTGGGAAAAGTATGTGGCAGCGCGAGCGGTCCGTGTCTTCTCTGCGGCTCGATGGGACTAAAATAAGGAGGACACGTCCGGTGTGGGGAAATAAACCGCGCGGGTCCAAATGAATTGTCCTTTTGAGTTCTCCTGACACCGTGACGCCGTCGTAAACCACTGAGTGATTTATGGCGTGTCTGCTGCCTCTGAGCTCTGACTCCTGAGGGATTTCATGTTTGCCTCCTTGCTTTTGTCAAACCTGGCATAACTAAATCAAGCATGTCCGTAACCTCATAATGGCTGGAGGTAATTGTTGGGGGGAGGGGGGGAAATCCAATAACAGCTTCTGTTATTTCACTTTTGGAGACTCCGAGGGAAGATTTGGCGCACCATTAGCATCCTATCTTGTGTGTGTGTGTGTTCGTTTTGTAAAATGAAATGGAAAGAAGATCACCTAAGCGAAAGAATAAAATGCATCTGTGCCAAAACGGAGAAGCCTACACACTTCTCTTGTGACCATGTCTGGGTTTTGTGTTTCCCAATTGCATTGAATGTTTTTCTACTACAGTATCACAGGCACAGCCTGAAGGGGAAGAAAGTAATTATTCCTCCTCTCTCCTTGCAGAGTTAAAATCCACCGGCACAGCTCATCACTTCTCCTTTCTGCTCAACTCGACCGACTATCGGATCCTTCGCATGGATGAGGACCACGACCGCATGTATGTGGGCAGCAAAGATTATATCCTTTCCCTGGACCTGCACGACATCAACAAGGAGCCGCTCATCGTAAGAAATGCCCCAGACTAGTACTCCTCTCGCCTCAGCTGTGCACAGGTTCATATCTAACCAGCTGGGTGATCTCTGCCTGTCAGATCCACTGGCCTGTTGCCACCCAGAGGAAGACTGAATGTGTCCTGTCAGGGAAAGACACCAACGTAAGTATTCAAATAGCATGTTTCATGGACTGCTGGACACATCACATCTTTATTTTGTATTTCCAGGTTGCTGTTTTGCATTTAACATGTTTAATCATTTTGTAAATGTATTATATTTAGCATTTTTTTGACTGTTGGTCTGCTATTTTCAAAGCCGAATAGCCCTGAAATGAAATAAAACTTCTTATTGAAGTCTTCAATATTTTGGCAATATCCATGAACGCCAATGAGCAATTCTTCAGACGTGTGCCCTTTACAGCCCCTCCAGGGTTTATAAAAGCACAGCTGTAATCCGCTGTGCCCTTTGACCCGCTGCACATTTACCACCGTTTTATCAGGCGATAACCCGGTGTTCAAATCAATGGTGTGGTTTCATCTTGATCTGAACGTGGCATTGGGGGGGTCAGTGGGGGAAAGCTCTGATTTGCTGTCTCTTCATCCCTGGTTGCTGATTGCATGCAGCTGCAGGCAATTGAGCTTTGGCAAGAACTTGGAACGCGGAACGTTCAGCCGCTGCCTTCGAGAGCGGAACGCGTATCCCCAAATATCGCGCACGTTTCTAGTTCATGTAATATGATCAGGTTTTCGTTTTTGCACAAGAATATTTGTGACCCTCGTCGTCCAAGGCAGGTGGACAAAATGAGGCCTGCCCGGAAGCGTTAATACGATTCAGGCGTTCAAACACGCCGCCGCTTCAGCCCCCGCAAGGAAACTCATCATTGAAATTCATATAAAAACCAGATCCTTTTCTTTTGATTCTATTCACACATTCTAGCCCCCCCCCCTCCCCGAAACGCTCGTCTCACACATGTTAGGGCTGAGCGGTGAGCACTGACAGGGTGATGAGGCTCCGGCTGCTCTCCCCTGCTGGTAGAGAGCGCAGGATGCTGTTTATCCAACTGGAATGTTCATTTATGCGTGTTTAGTGGCCTGCGCCTCCCACAGCCTCTGGCTACGTCGTATTAGCCCTGTGTGCGTGTGTGTGTGTGTGTGTGTGTGTGTGTGTGTGTGTGTGAGGGTGAGGGAGAGGTGGGCTTTAATTTTCCTCTCTAAAATAAGAAATACAATTGGCTACCGGGAGACATTTTGGCAATCCCGGCCCACTCTTTAGGGAATGACAGATGATGACAATTCTAAAGCAATTCAGAGGGGATGTCGGTTCAGGCGGGAGGTCAAAGGCAATCCTCCCCCCCCACTGGGCTCTCTGTGGGGGAGCTCAACTGTGCGCTGAATAATACACGCAGGCCTACATGCGTAAACCCACACACACAATCAAAAGTGCTCTCAAACCTCTGGCTTGTGCATCTGCCGTGTCCCCCATCCCAAATACAATGTTTTTTTTAATACTTTGGTACATCCTTTCTTTTTCGCTGTCACTAGTGGCTGACATGACTGACAAATCCAAACAGACATGCTCGGCCCGTATAGGTTCATGTTGCATTTTTGCATTTTTTAGAAATCTAAAATCCACTCAACCGAAACGTTGTCTGACAGGACATTGAATTGCATCCGCCCTCAGTCCACATGGCAAACACATCAACAGCTTAGATGCACTGCTTTTCGTTGGTTTCTGCCGTGCTGTTGAGCGGTTTTCGGAAAAAAATGAATTCTGGGCCAGACCGACACACAGCCAGAGAAAAGTGCTGCCAAACACAAGCCAGAGGGATGGATGTGGTGCTTTTAAGCCAGGCAGGGAGGTTATTCGCCATCAGCGGGACATTACGTGTTATGCAACCCTTTTTTCTTTTTGCAATTTCGGGATCAGAGTGATTCTTTTAAACCTAAATCTCTAATCCTGTTTTGCGCTCTGCAACAGGGGGAATGTGGAAACTTCATCCGCCTGATTGAGCCGTGGAACCGGACCCACCTCTATGTGTGTGGAACAGGCGCGTACAACCCCATCTGCACCTACGTGGACCGAGGACGCAGGTCACAGGTAACCCAAGACGCTGCCCGGCAGCCGCGGAGACATTTTGACCTTCGCTCTCAGGTTCTTTTGAGAACCCGCCTGTCAATCAACCTCAGGTCAAATAATATCCTTCTGCTCTTGATCCTCTGTTTTTCTTTGCTGCTCTTCCATCATTTTCTGCGTCTTAATTTTCACCAATTTGTGCCGTTTCACGGTCCAGGAGACTCAAAGAAAGAAGCTCATGGCCAGTCCTATCTGGATCTATATTATTGCAAAAAAAAGAGGGCGGCTGAGACACAAATCCGTTATCTCACCGCGGGGAGTTCCATGTTGGCATTTGCATCTGCAGCAAACCCCATTCCTCACCTGCTTTGTACACAGCAGAACCTGTGGCCTGTCTTTTCTGTCTGGGCTGAGAGCTACTGAAAGGCCATCGTTACTGATGGAGCCTCTCATCCATCATCAGCCTTGTAGCTCGCCCCTCCGCCCCCCCGATCCCTCCCTCGGTCCAGCGCGGCGGCGGCCATGCAGAGCGGCAGCAGCTGCCGGCCCGGCCGGCGGCCCGTACGCTTACATCCACCGCGGTGCCTGTTTAGTCTCACTGTTGCAAAGCGGGGTTCTGATTTCAATGTAAAGGTCAGTCCGGCCCCTTTGTCATTCAGCTTGTCCCTTAAGGCCCAGACGCCGTGTTACTTCACACTCTAAAGATTTTCTCCAGCAAGAGTCGGTGTAAACAGAAACCAATTGTTCCGGAATTCTTCTGTTAAGTGCACGGGGGGAGGGGGGAGGGGCTTCGCACGTTCTCGGTCACTAGTAAAGTTTCAAGTTTTTCTTCAAACTGCATCAATCTTCCTGCTTTTCTATGCCGCTCCAGAGCTTGTTTTGCCACGTTTGTGTCATCCTGTTGGGTTGCACATGTAAAAACACACACATTTTGTTAAAAATCCTTAACTAGGCTGGTGTGACCCGGCAGCGTAATTTGCTATCTATATTGATGTATTTTCTTCACTTTGTCTCACTTCGGTGCATTTCCATTTCTTATTTCTTTCCTGGCACTGCATGGTTTATGCATGGGGCTTGCAGCTGTGTTTGCTTGACACTGATTCTAATCCAACATGGTTACCAAATGAGCAACGCCGCCCACCAGGCTCTCGTCACTCTACTTCGAGCACTTTATTTTTCCGGTCTTTCGTTTTTGCACTTTCCTATTCCCGTCTTCTGTTCATGTGCTGGTCATCATCAAGTTAAATACAGTTTTGTTCTGAATTCGTAATGAGGTGGCCCACTGTGCCATGTCTCTGTTTTAGGGGTCCCACTACCTACAGGCTGCCCAATCTGGAGGGAGAACAAATCGGGCGGCAGACTACAGCACTACGTCAGAGCCTTTGGAGGCTAAGGTGGGCTCAAGGGAGATTTGTAACGGCTCTTAGGTCCAGTGCCCACCTGGAGAACTTTTTCAGTCTCACTCAGAGTAGTAGAGAGAGCACATCTATCAAAAAAGCAATTGGCTTTCACGCATTTTGACACAACAATATGTTGCCTCATGTCCAAAAATCTGAGTTTTTTTTTTTTTTTTTTCTGCTTTGTAAGTTGACTTTCTCTTGAAATGCTTTTTTTCATCAGATTTGTACTCTGAGTGATGGGAGCCAACACTAATTCAACGTTCTCTCCTAATGTTTATAGCGATGTTTCCAAATGATAGTTCCCATCCACACATATTTCTTTCTGTCATTGTGAGGTGACATTATCGAGCTTTCCCATACAAGCCCAAACCTGTCAGACATCATCAGCCAGCGTCGAAGCACCTGATAAAACTCAGTGTAGACACGTACCCAGTGTTGCCACAGATGGTCCGGATGCCCTCTTGCACTGTGGAATAATCGATTCTTCCATGAGCCACTAACATCAGACGCATGGTGGATGGGTTTTGGATTACTCTCAGCATTTTCCTCCACCTCCCATCTCACAGATAACTGGCTTTTTGTTCTCCTCAGCAGATCCGATATTGCTGTGAGAGTTTGTTTATAACTGCTTTTAACCTCCATGAATACTTCAAAGTGCCTTGTACATGACATAACCCCCCCCCCCCACCCCCCCCCCACGCACACACATACACAAATTATTACTTCAATAAATGCGTTATCAAATGAGAAACGACAACAAGAGAATGATTCATTATATTTCTCCCACTTTATTGTTTTATAGGAATACATCTTCAGACTTGAACCTGGTAAAGTGGATTCTGGGAAAGGAAAATGTCCTTATGACCCCAAACTGAACAGTGTCTCCGCTTTGATCAGTAAGTACCTGCTGGTTGTTCCCCTCATGCATCCAGCAGTCTGTGGACGCTTCTGTCGATGAACCTCTTCTCAAGTATTTACTTAAACACAATGTCAGTTGTTTGTTGAATTAGCAACCATTAAAGGTAATAAACTCTGATTATTGCTGAGGGTTCTGCACCAATGTTGCAGCAGCGTCTGACTTAATCGCCCTCTAATCTGCACATTCGTGAAAAAATGCCCATTAGTGTTTCCGTTCACATCACAGCCCCTTTACAATCATATACGAGAGAGAGAATCAGCATTTCCTCACGCTTGGAGTTTTTGGGGCAACATTTCCGTCGGGCGTGCGGATACAGTTTCACCAACGCGTTCGCTGTCGGGGCCCCTGCGCGTCCCCTCGTGTGGGTGGTCGGCCTTTTGTCGTCAGCGGCTCACAGGTGGTCGGACGTGGCGGTTTATCCGTGACCTCCTGCTCGTGTGTGTGTGTGTGTGTGTGTGTGTGTGTGTGTGTGTGTGTGTGTGTGTGTGTGTGTGTGTGTGTGTGTGTGTGTGTGTGTGTGTGTGTGTGTGTGTGTGTGTGTGTGTGAGGGAGAGCGTAGGATAAAAAGGGAGAGACCTCGCCGTGTCAGCTTAATTCCAGCTGACCCGAACAAGAGAAAACTGTTACACTAAGAAAATGGGCCGGTGGCCGGAACCACAGCACCCAGCGGGCGAACGGGGAGGATGGAATTCCCGTGGTTTCCTTATTCTTACACAATTATTTTTCTTGCCAACCATGAACAACCTATTCTGAAGTGAAACATGAGGGAATCGTGTAAATCCAGCTGTTTCTTTGGCGTCTCACTGATTGGCCTAATGAGCGTGATTGCGATATAATTCAGAGGTCAACATTTTCCACCGAGACGTGACATTTCCGAGACAAGTGGACTGGGTTTGATGTCTTTTTAGGACTGCTGTATCTTTGCACGGTGCTGTTATTTTTAAAGAAATAATCAATCAATCCAGAGTAAAACCATCTTTATTGTGACAGGCCACAGCTGCTGTCTGTGCCACCTGTGTGATTTCGATGAAACCTGCAGGGCTCCACACAACTATTTGATTAGGTTTCAATGAGTCGTGGCATGAACGCTCGTTCGCTGAAACCTGAACCTTTTTTCACCTCTGCAACAACCCTCTCTTCCCCTCTGTGACTGACAGACGGAGAGCTGTACTCTGGAGTCTACATCGACTTCATGGGAACCGACTCCGCCATCTTCCGCACGCTGGGCAAACAGACCGCCATGCGGACTGACCAGTACAACTCCAGATGGTTAAACGGTAATGGCCTCTTCTTCATGGCCCTCACTCGTCTCTCTGCAGACTGCTTTTAAATGTGTGACCATGCAGTCATTCGACCCGAAAGCATAAAATGTGCTGCTCTGATTGTCCACACGCCCGCCGAGCTCGACCACAAGGGTCAGTTGTGTGGCAGCAGGTGCAAATTACTGAACGTCAATAATAACGAGTAGCCTCGACTCTCTGACCGATGGGGATCGTCGCCGCGTTAAAAAAAACGCTGTTCGGAAGCTTTCGGGTTGATGTCTCCAAATCAATCGCGGCCTCCCGCGGCGTTTTTTGGCTCCCTAGATTTTCCCCTGATCCTGTTGCCCTGACAACCGTCCCCTGGTAGTGGCACACTGAATGGGGACACCTGAGTCCCCTTATTAAGCCATGTGGCATCCCTTGGATGTTGCTCCCCCTCCCCCGACAGACAGTTGGTCGTCTTCCTCATTTGGGCCCTTGGTCGGTCGAAGCGAGGAGGGGGCGCCCAGCGGTGACCCAGGAAGTCTGGGATGCCATATTAAGCAAGGTCACTAGGAAGAAATAAAAGGGGGGGGGGGGTTCAGGGCAGTTAGAGTGCCATCATTTAGGTGGCAGCAGTGTTGGGTCTCAATAGAACGCTGCCTCTTCCAGTTCTGTGACCAGTTGGCTGTCGTCAGGCTAGTAAGGCTGTAAAATAATGATAATAATAATCTAAAAAACGGGTCTTAAATGTCAAGAATTTGTCCGAATTTTTTTCACTGAACAAGATCCCTCATAGTTCACACCGTAAGCATGTAGGTGGATCTCTTCACCGTTGTACGCGGTCAATGTGGACGTGGAAAATGTCAAATCTATTTTTGTTCCTTTGAAGGGATAAATCAGCAGAGGTTTGATTTCCCTTAATTGCTTACATTTTTACCCCTAGACCCAACATTTGTCCACGCGCACCTCATCCCGGACAGCGCGGAGAAGAACGATGACAAGCTTTACTTCTTCTTCCGAGAGAAAGCCTCGGAAATGGGCCAGAGTCCCATGACCCAGTCCAGGATCGGCCGGATCTGTCTGGTGAGTGATCACACCAGTCGACAAACCTCATGTTTATCACCACAACCGGAAGGTTTATACAAGTCTGCAAAGTGCTGTCATTGGGGGTTTTTTTTCCCCCTGCACGAAATGTTTGAGCGTTGGAGTTTACGTTTACGTTTACGTTGTTCTGCATTTGTTTAGACACACGCACCGAAGTGAAAAGATCAAATCAACCTCACGGTGGTGCGAGCAGAACATTTGGTGCCATTCTGTAAAGGAGACACTGAGATGTTTCACTCAGCAAGTGAAAAGTCCGACCTGATGGGGGCAATTTTATGCCCATCCACCTGAAAGCGCTCAGGGTATTTCACTCCATACCACATACAGTCAGGCCAATAAATATTTGAACACAATTTTTATCATTTTGGCTGCGTGCACACCACACTGGCCTTGGAGAATGAAACGATCAAGATGTCCTTTGAGTGCAGACCTTCAGCTTCAATTTGAGGCGATTTACAACAAAACGGGTTTCTTCCAGCTTTGCAATTAATTTGAACTCCGCAACGTGAATCATCTCCCGGGGCTCCGAATCTCCACCTCAGCACTAGGAGTTGGCCGACCTCTTTGCAGGCGGGCCGAGCTGAAATACGCGGCTGATCTTTATTCGCACGGACAAAAGTGCAGTTAGCGTGGAAGGTTGTTTCAAACAGCTGTTGGTCAGATGTTGTGCGTGAAGACGGCTGGCTGACCGCTCTCTCCTCCCTGCAGAACGACGACGGGGGCCACTGCTGTCTGGTCAACAAATGGAGCACGTTTCTGAAAGCTCGACTCATTTGCTCGGTGCCCGGAGCCGACGGCGTCGAGACGCACTTTGATGAACTAAGTGAGTTTTGATTTCCCCGTTTAGATAGAAATCCTCCCGCGCAGCTTTCTTTTTATCTCCAGCTGTTTCTACACTCCACCCCCCCTCGCCCGGTGTGTCCTGCCGTGCGATCATTTGCCGTTTTAGTGTTTGTGATCTGGTAATTAACCTCAGAGGCAAACATCTCAAAGCGTTTTCACAGATCACATTCCACAACTCGGGGAAACATACTTCATCTGCTTACGCTCGGTGTGAAGCGCGTAATGAATATGGGGCAGATGGAAAGAGGGAATTCTTACGTGACCGTGTAACTGCAACTCAAAAAACGAGGCTCTCCAGATGGACCTCTGTCGCTGACAGACTCGGTATCAACAACTTTCCCATTTACAGAGTTCGTTTCTGGAGAAATTCTGCCCTCCCTTTGCGTTGCATACTTTTAACATGATGTTACAGTGTGTGTGTGTGTGTGTGTGTGAGTGAAACTACGGCTCACGCTACTGGAGGGACAGCGGCATGTGTCTGCAATGCTGGGAAGAATCCTCCATGGAAGCTGCAGCTTTAGATTAACGTGTCAGCGACTCCTGCTAAGCCTGACGTGCATGTACCCCTTTGAACATCAACAAGGCCTCAGGAGGCCACATCCTGTCAGGTAGCATCCTCGCTGCAAGACTGCGAGCGCTCCGCTTTGCAGCGACATCCACGGGTTGTGCGGACGATCCGTTCTCAAACAAAGAGATTGAAAAGAGAAATACACACGGCAAGAGAGTAATCAAAGTAGTACCGGTAAGCAGCTGGCATCGGCCGCAACCCCCCCACCCTCCCCGGATCATCCCGGCCCGTCCGTCACTCACATGGCGGACAGGATTAACGAGGGATTTTCTAGTATCCTTGAAATTATGACTGGTGGTGTGAGCAGCAAATCTTTCACTATTGGTGAAAGATTTGCTGGTCACAGGAGGACTTGTGCTCACTATTTTAATTCAAAGTAGCGCTCCAACAGTTTATCTTCAGCCGCCTCACTTCTCCTAAATCCAGCTAACAAGATGGATTCCACTTAAAATAAATAGATAACGCTCAATCGAGTCAAGTCTCCTGTGGTGCAAATAGAGCATCGTGCTGTTGAATACATCTCCACGTTTGTTTTGTTTTTACTTTTACTGCAAAATGTGTTATACATTTTTGTACAGAATAGGATAATATTTGTTGTAGTATGATTGTGGCAATAAATGCTCCCTTTTCATGGGACAGATGTTAACCGCTGGTACAACCTGGAGTTTCTATAGTTGTGTAGTAAAGAAACAGGGGTTACACCTCCCAGAATATTCTTGAAATGTTCTTTTAAAAAGTGTCTTTTAACGTGGTTGTGTGGTTCGGCCATTAAAAATAAAGGAAGAGCAACAGATTCCAGTAAGCAACAGGCATGTACTGAAAACTACAAAGGGAGCTAGTGATGTAACATGTGATCCGTCCAATCCATCATACCTGTGATTTGAGGTCAGGTCACCAAAAAATGGCTTCAATAAATCTGTTGATCAAATCTCATCCAAATGATCAAATACAAAATCATCAACGTCAGCTTCTGCGTATGAAGCTGCGCCGGTCAGCGTCACACACGTCCATGTGCCTTTCGGGAATACATCCGTTCCTTCCTGCTTTGAGCGCACATTGTGACGGTATTAAATAATTCACCCGGTAGCTGTGTGCATCCCGCGCGGCGTTGAGCCCAAAATGTAGTGTAGCATCTCTTATTCCCGCTGTGACGAGGCCTTGCCAGCGGCGGACGTGTGTTCTGCACTAAGAGCACTTTGTGTCCGTGACAGAAAAGTCGCAGTGCAGACGAGCACTGGCGGGGGGGGGTGAGGTCACCGCGAGTCCTGAGGCGCAGTGTGACATTCCCACAGCTCCGTGGTCAGTCTTCCCACAGAGCCACAGGCCGCCTGGTAGAAAGTCCTGATGGAGCCCAGCAGAGGCATCAGAGTGCTCGTAAGAGGACTCCAGGGAGAGAGCGGAGTAGATTCAGACAGGGGAGGCTTCGGGAACGGAGGAGAAAGCAGGGGGGGAGGAGGAATATGAAGATGGAGGAGAAGACACGCAGACGCTAGAGACGTGAAAACGTCAAGCAGACGAAAATGAGAATAAATGTGTGACCGGTAACGTTTTATTGCCTTTTCTGAGATTCAATTATGAAGGGAAACATTGTGTTTTTTTTCACTGTATTTCACAAGTCCCCCAAAAAAGCGTTGACTCCCTTTATGAAGAGACGGGAACGGCCGTTTCAGTTTGTTTTCACCAACATACTTTAGGAGCACATCCTCAAAGGTGGCTGTCAAGGAGGTAAAGATATGAACTCGCTGCAGCTGTTTGCATTGACGCAGCTTGCTCTAGTTCTCTGATGATTCATTTCTTTCCTCTTTCAATGCGCTCGTGCTGCAGCCGAGAGGTCTGTAACACCGGCGTCGGATGGGTCATGAATTTTCTTCTTTGTCTGCCAAAAGTACATTTTTGTTTCAGTGTGCAGCCGGTACCTGCCATTCTCTTACCCTGGCATGATCGAGTTTGATTTGGCATCTGGAAATGCACACGAGCCAAGTGAGCTCGAGCTGGTTTGTTGCACGCACACTTGGATAAAGCAAAAGGGGACAAATCAAATGATCTGTTGGCACATTTTACTACACATCTCACGCGCATAATCGGGGGCTTAGAATGTTGTGCTTTTACTTAATGCTTCTCACAGTGATTCCGGTGACATGTTTGAGAGATGCTGTACGATCGGACGGCTGTACACTCTGACTGTGCAGATTAATGTTTCGAGCTCCACGGATGACAATGCAAGAAATATGCGGTTAATAAATGCAGTTTCATGCCGTCTTTTATCGTCATTGGTTATTGTTGTCCTTCTGTTCACGAGGCGAGGTTAAAGCCTTTCCACTAGTTTCTCATTGATGTGGAGCATTAGGTGGTGTCGTGTGTTCGACCGCGGATGAAGTGTTATTCTACTCGTGTACTTTGAATTTGTTCCAGTTTTCTTCCATGTTGTTTTTCCTTGCACTCTTCTCTCATTAAGCCATCAGGAGGATACATAGGGTTCATAACGGTTCATAGGATGCATATGGCTCCTATTAAAGTCATGTTTCACCAGACATCTCTATTTCACTGGTATTCCCTGCTGAGACTCAAGAACTGTAGTCTAAGCTTTGGATTCAGGATCTCGTTGAGACTCTGGTAACCGCAATTCATGAGGTCGCCCCTCGCAGGAGGCAAAAAGTCTCCGTATTTTACAGCTACAATGAATTTGGGACGGAACGAGGGGAGATCTAGATACTCATATTTATTTATTATGTATCTTCTTTATACGTATACTGTATTACATTTCAGTGTTTTTCCTCCAATATTGTTGCCTAAGACTGTTGTCTCAGTGAGTTCCTCTTTCCATGTCAGTTTCATTTGAATAATAGTTTGAGGGCCCAAAGAGGTCGAATTATCCAATATAACTCGTTGGGTTACCTTATTTCTTAGGCGAATTTTACAGACTATTTAATAAATTTAAAACGTATTTTTCTGAATGTTGTTAATGTGCTTTCACTTAAGGATCTGAGAGCCTCACCAGTGCTTTCCATGGTTTGTGTCTGTGACTAAATAAATGACGTCTTTCTTTTCAGGGGACGTGTATATCCAGCCAACTCAAGACAACAAAAATCCCGTCATCTACGGCGTCTTCTCCGTTTCAGGGTGAGTGACTGACGCCTCTCTCGAACCCTCTGTCATTAAACCCTAATGCCGTTTCTCTCTGATACGGAAACGCCCGCGTCGCGTGTGGCTCGTCGGGTTCGGGCCACAAAGACAAAGGCTGTGAAATCTGGAGCCCGGAGGGAGCCGGCGCTCCTCTCAGAGCCTGAAGTTCCCCCGTCGGTCAGGCTGGATAGCAAGTTGTCATTCAACAACACGGCATTAAAGCTCAAGGAAAACCAACCAGACACAAAATGAGATTCCGTCTGCGCTCGAGTCATAATAAACATTCCTTGATTAACGTATTTGAGAAACAAATACTGTTATTGTTCCGTCCACCCCTCAGGCACCAGGCACGTTTAAACGCAGTTGATAAAAACGCATGCCGCGCTAATGATAGCTCCCCGTGACAGGAGCTACAAACAACGGTGCACCCACCACGCGGCAGCAAGAGACGCGGGCGCTGGCGCTCCACTGCAGTACGTGGGTGTTTGTGTGTGTCAGCGTGTCAGACGTGCTTGACTCTGGCTGAGTCGGGTTTGTGCGTCGTTATGTTTCGTTTCATTTCCCGAGCGAGGCCGGAGCACGTGGGAAGCCGCTGAGAGCACCCGTGGCAATTATCTCCGGGAGTGAGTTCTCACCCTTTACCCTCTCGCCCTGCCCCAGGGCTGTGTTCAAAGGCTCGGCCGTGTGCGTCTACTCCATGGCTGACATCCGAATGGTCTTCAACGGGCCTTTTGCCCACAAGGAGGGGCCCAACTACCAGTGGGTGGCGTACAGCGGGAAGATCCCTTACCCGCGACCTGGCACTGTGAGTCATGCGCCGTGATTACGCAGGCCTCCTCCCATTAGAAACATCATGGTGTGTCATCATTTTATAAGGACGTTTTAGGGCATAAGGAATTTGGTCAAATGCAGAGCTGCCAGTTCTCTCTCTCTCTGTCTCTCTACATATATATAAATACATATAAATAAATGCGTTTTTTCATCAACAGTGTCCCGGAGGCACTTTCACCCCCAACATGAAATCCACAAAGGATTACCCAGACGAGGTCATCAACTTCATGAGAAACCACCCCACCATGCACAATGCCGTATACCCGGTACACAAGCGCCCCCTGGTGGTCAGAACCAACGTGGACTACGAGTTCACCACGATTGCAGTGGACCAGGTGGCCGCTGCAGACGGGAGCTACGAGGTGCTGTTCCTGGGCACAGGTCGGTGCTCTAAGCCCTCAGTGGACGTTACGCGCTGATCGTTTTAGGGATCTATTGCGATGGAGGAAATGAGTCTAACGTAGACGAAGCCGAGCCCCGAGCTCCGCGTCTGAGAACGTCCACAGGGCTGATGTTGAACTTCTAATCGTCGTTGCAGATCGGGGGACAGTCCAGAAAGTGATCGTCCTGCCCAGAGACGACTTGCAGACAGAGGAGTTGGTCCTGGAGGAAGTAGAGGTCTTCAAGGTCAGTCTTCCAAACGTTTTCTGTTTACTTTGTATCTGTCAGTCCTCGAAACTGTTTATTGACCATTTAGTTTTTTACTGCAGGTTCCCACGGCAATCACCACCATGAAGATTTCTTCTAAACGGGTATGTTACTTTAAAGGGGATTTAACCAAATGATCAAAGAAATAAGTCAATTATTTCCAATAAAATGTGGTAACTTTCTTTTACAGTTCACGGAGCTTTAGTAAATTCATACTACGGTTGTAGTAAAGGTCTTTAGTTGCTGCTTAATGTATTGAAAATGGAAACAGTGCTTAAATGGTACCATTTGAGTTGTGCTTTATTTCTACAGAAATGTATCTTAAGGTAAAAATACCATACGCATAGCCTGGAGAGAAAATATATAATCGCTTATGACTTCATCCCAAGTAACTATTGTCTTACATCAAATTTCTTTCTTTTTAATCTTTCTAGGAAACTGTTAAAAAAAAAATTGCTGACCTTTTATTTTTAGTAGTAGTAACCAAACCTTTATATTTAATTTATTTTATTTTATTTGATGATTTTTTTTGTTTTGTTTTTGTCAACAGCAACAGCTGTATGTGGGGTCGGTCTTGGGGGTGACCCACCTGGCTCTCCATCGCTGCGATGTGTACGGCGAGGTCTGCGCTGACTGCTGTCTGGCCAGAGATCCGTACTGCGCCTGGGACGGCAAATCCTGCTCCAGATATTCATCCTCACAGAAGAGGTGAGAATAAAGACAGCACACAGCGGCACGCGTTGGGCATGGTGCTTGTTTGTGTCTGTGAAGAGCAATTTCATTCTTATTTTTTCCTGTAATGTTTTTAAAAAATATATTTAAGTTATGCTTTTTGTTTTTGATTGTTGATCCGACCCCTCTAGACGGAGCCGTCGGCAGGATGTCAAATACGGCAACCCGATCCGCCAATGCAGAGGTTATAACTCAAACAGTGAGTATCAGCACCACTAGACTCATAAATAAGACTTTTGTTGAGATTATTGTTTTGCATGTGGTGGTTATTGAAAATGAATGTCTTACCTCTCATGCATCTACTTCATATTTACGTGAATAATGCATTAAATACACTCCACATAATGTGTTATAGCCAATAAGAATACTGTGGAGACCATTCAGTATGGGGTGGAGGGCAGCACTACGTTCCTGGAGTGCCAGCCCAGGACTCCCCATGTGTCTCTCAAGTGGCACCTGCAGAAGGAAAACAGTGACAGGAGAAAAGAGGTGACGCTTTAACTGTAAAATAGTCCCGTTGTTTCAACCGACTGGTGTTTAAAAAAACTCTTATTTTGACTGAACTGTCCTCCTGACTGCCCTTTCTTCCCAGATTCGCTCCGAGGGTCGCATCCTAAAAACCGAACAGGGCCTCCTGATCCGCTCGCTGCAGTCCTCCGACAGCGGCATCTACCAGTGCACGTCCACGGAGAAGAACTTCAAGCACACGCTGGCCAAGCTGCAGCTCGTGGTCCTTTCCAGCCGCACGGTCAACAGCGTGTTGGTGGAGACCGGCGGTCCGGCCCTGCCGCCGCTGCAGTCCAGCGCCTGGACTCCGAGCGCCGGGCAGTACAAAGACCTGCTGACCATCCTGAGCCAGCCGGAGATGGGCCTGATCAACCAGTACTGCCAGGACTACTGGCAGCTCGGAGACGTCAGCCTGGGAGACAGCAAGGCCAAAAGCCTGAAGGAGCTGAAGGAGCAGAAGAAGCCTCGCAACCGCCGGCATCACGATGAGCAAACGACTCCCGCCGAGACATGAGGAGTTGGATGCGCACGCCTCGTCACGCCACCCCCCCCCCCCCCCACCCCGGTCCACCCTTCCACAACCCCCCCCCCCACCCCTTGAACACTGCAACCCTCCATTTAGGGGAATGACTCCAGTTAGAAAGAGGACATTTTAGAGGTTTCTATGTAACTGTTGGGAAAAAAAAAACACAATATTTATTGTAGGTTGTAAAAAGTCATTCTTTGTACCTACCTAGGAAACATGTTTTTTTTGTTTTTTTTTGTGAATAGGTAAATGTGTGCAAATATTGTCGTATTATTGTTAGTGTTTATTACAATGTGTTATTATGTTAAGAATAACTTTATGTTTGGTGTTTTTGAGAAACGGCGACGATAACCGAGGACTGGATTGTCTGGACAAAGACCGACGAACGCGCGTTCGGAAAAAACCCGCCACAGGGCGGCCGCGTCGGGTCACGTGACTGCTGGCAGTATTCGGTGTCTCTCAAGCTCAAAGTCAAACTTCCCCAAACTTCCTCACCACAACTCTCTACTGTATATAAGACAGTTTTTGTTACACTGCAATATACAAGCTGCATTTCTTGGGACACGGAAGCACAAAAGAAATGGCAACGGACTGCAGCCGAGATGTGAGTGAGAGGCGCTCCGTCGCAGGTAAGACGTCTCTCCTTTAACGTTTGTGGGCCTCGAGTAAACACCCCACCATCCCATCAACCCTCCCAAACTCTTCCAAAACTACTTGCTGCCAAGTGTTTTGTTTATATGTGAATAACACATCTAAATGTTGTATCCTTAACGAACGTGATCTTTGTAATAAGCTGTGTTTTAGGGGAAAAGGGTCCTTTTTAATGGCACAAAAGCTGAAAATAGAACATTGCCTTCTCTTTTTCTCTTTTGGGATAAGAAATTCCAGCAGGCAGCTTCATGTGAGTTTGTGAAAGTTTGTGATAAAAAATAAAATAATAAGACACAAAGCACCTTTTGTTGCCGGATCGGTAATATTGCTGAATGTTTAGACACTTGGTTAGATATACTTGTATCTGTGGCATATGCAGGATGTTCATGAAGGCAGTTAACATTATTACGGCGCTTAACTATAATACCAACTAACGATCAATAACGGCGTCACAGAGTTATCACTTGCTTTGCGTGTTATTTATTTCTTTTAGATATCTGTCTTTAGGTTTTCTGTCTACACCAAAAAACACTGAACCTATGATTTGTTTCGTGTTAAATTTTATTTTCCTGTTGACTTTTATTTTGAAAACGAGTTCTTTGTAAGTAGTCTTTAGTGTAGTAGTCTAAATAATTGTTTCGTATTCAACAGGTTGCACCCCATCTCCGATGGGCTTGGTAATAATGTTTAGCCTCTTTTTCATGTTGGCCCTACTCTGAATGACGTCTCCTCCGCGCTCCTTCTTTCTGGTTGTAATTTGAACGCAGGCAAACCCTGCAGGTGACTCTCCACGATGTAAGGCGCCGCCTTCGGAGCAAAACCCCGCCCCCCTCTGTGGTGGACCACAGCGGACAAAGCACCGTTCCCGCAGAACTTTAACGCCGTTAATGCCTTTTGATCTTCAGCTGTAAAAGCCTAAAAACGTATCCCGTGTAATGATCCGCAACTACAAGCACATGTGCAGATGTTCCCGGAGTGAGGTTCAATCGTCAGAAAAATCTATGCACACAAGATCAATCGGCCTCTCACTTTCAAGGTGGGACAACTCAGCAGCTCTTGGGACAGTTTTTACTGTACTCTCAATTTGTACTTTCATACGAGGCTTTAATGGAGCCATGGGTCTTGTCAATACCAAGGTGACCTGACCGGTCTTGCAAAGACTCAAGCACAGTCCCTCAGAACTCTTCAGGAAGAACTAATTGTGTGCGACATGGTTGGTCAGATGGATTACTCGTAATGTACAATACAGAGTCTTTGAGCTTTAGGTTTTTTCATTGTTTAAGCAACGATGACACATCAGGATGCTTGTCATAGCTAGCCTGCCTGCCACACTTCTCCGATGCTTCGCGTCTTTCTGAATGTGAGATATCTGCAGACGTCATCGCATGCAGCGGTTGCGAGCCGGGTTGTAATTGGCTCGGGGAACGGCGCGTTCAGGCGAGACCAGAGGAGCAACAGTTCTGCAGCGGCTGTTTCGACGGGATCTAAACTCCACCATATGAGAAGCAGCTTGGACAATAACCGCGGTGATGTTCTCCTCTTCTCATCTTGACTTTCAGGTTTCTGCTGGCCAGCCTGGTCGCAAACCCTCTCCTTGGTCCTGATGCAGGTCACCTCCCAAACCATCTCAGCTGGCATCAACATGCAGGACGCACGGAAGCTCTGGGTTGCCAAATGCCAATGTAAAATACGTACAATACATTAAATTCCTATAACAGAAATGACTCAAATAATTGAGAAGAAACATCTTAAAGGCCAAACGTTGCCAGCAGGGACGGTGGTAGTGTGGAGGGAGTTCAATGGAGCAGGGGGGGGGCGTGAGTGCTTTAGGGCACTGTTGCAATTCATAAAAGAGACGGGACTGGGCCGTAGGATCTAGGAAGCACTGGTACTTAGTTTGAGCAACACGCTGCAAGCTGCACACTCCGGTACAGTAGGTGGCGGTATGCACCCAGTCAAGTTGGTTGTGATCCGCCATTTCAAACCTAAAAAAGAAGAAGAAGAAGAAGACATGTCTTCTGCAGGCCCTGTCTCTGTGAGGACTTCCTGTGCTGTTCAGGTGACGACTCCATTCTAACACGCGTGCACCACCTGTACTGGCATGACCTACTAACCCCAGTTCCAGCCCGCAGGTCACGGCCCTCAACAGCATCTTCCAAATGGTCCTCAAGGCGGTTGTGACACCTCGACGGTGAGCTTTGTTCGATACGAGTGAGCTGCAACGTCATCTTCAGCTTTCCACTTCATTGTTGAGTTGTTTGACTACATTTCAGGTCACTTTCAGAACTTTTGGGCCAAGCACGGAGCTTTTAACTCGGCTCTTAAAACCCTTTTTACACAACCTGTAAAGAGACCAAGAGAGTCTGTAGAAACCAAACATTAGACTTCAATTCATCGGGTGACCAGAAGCGCGGCTCCTAATTGACTGATTTATCTACTTAGTCAATGTAGTTTTTCACAACTTATTTCTGCTGCCCCCAAAAATGGCCCAAAAATCTGTTCTGGCAGGTTGAACAAAAGACAGAAGGGCTCACCTGGTTGACCACTTTGTAATCGTTAACGTATATTTGACATCCTTGCAGATTGCTTCAGACTGAAGTTTAAAAAAATAATTCTCAAGTTAAATAGAATCTCCTGTTGTACTTTTTGTATTGGTTCATCTGTTTAATTATCTTTTATGGCAAAAAAATTCAATGCATATTTAAAGAGGTTAAAGACCAACGTGAGAAGGAACGAGTGAAGCATGTTTACTGGTGGGATGATTCTTTCCCATTAAATGAGAAAAATGGATCCACAGGACCTCATATATTTGAAAATAATACTGAATACCTGGAAGCTTTGCTGATGTTCTATTCAAATAGTGTGCGACGTATTAAACAGGGTAACTTCTCAGTATGAAAACAGGGATCAAGAATCTGTTCATTTCGCATTCAACTGCTCCTCTGAGGAGCTGCTGAAGTTCAACCACTGAAGATTCAATGACACTTTAACAGGTGCTGCTGATAAGTTGATCAGTCCCAGTTCATTGAGGCCAAACAATCGGTAGTAGCACCGCTTTTGTGCTGTAGAAGTAGTTTTGGTTTACGGTTTGTGTTGTTTCAATAGGTTGGTTGACATATCCTACATGCCAAAGCTCATTGATGATTTAAGCTAATGTCCAAATGAATTCATGGGGATTACTCTCGCTCCTCTTTTCACCGCTCAACGGCGAACTAATAGTGGTTGTTTAACGACAGCCGTTGTTGTGCAGATTAGGGTTTCAAAGTTTGGCGCTTTAGCCGTCGCCATCTTGTTTTTTTGCGACTTGTGAAAGGAATTGATCGTATTTGGACTGCTGAGGAGTGACCCTACGGGAGCCATCCGTTGATCGCGAGGTAGCCGCGCCTTCGAGAAACATCCTTTCACTTTGCCTTGTTGGCTGCCCGACCGAGGCAAGAGAAGGATGTTTCTTCACTGTTTATGTCCTACACTATTTATTTTTTCTTCTGCTTTTCTTGACTTTTCCATGTAATTGGGTTTTGTGGTAAATTTTACTCCATGACATTCATTCGCAGTTTGGGGAACTGTAAAAATGATTTTGAACTAAAGGAATGTCTTTTTTTCGTTGTTGCAGATCTGCCCTTTTGTGACCGAAGCAGTATGTGGGTACGGAAAGTATTCAGACCTCTTAGATGTTTTGCAGCAATTTTCTAAAATCCAAATAGTTCATTTTATTTCTCATTAATGTTCACTCAGCATCCCGTCTTGATGGGAAAAAGTGTAGAAATGTTTGCATTTATTAAATTTATTAAAAAAGAAAAACTGAAATATCACATTGTCATAAGTATTCAGACTCTTTGTCGTGACAGATTTAACTCCCATGCTGTCCATTTCTTCTGATCCTCCTTGGGATGGTTCTACTCCTTCATTGGAGTCCTGCTGTGTTTAATTAAACTGATTGGACTTGATTAAGTAATTTGAACCCTCAGTTAAACTCTCAATGGTAAAAAATAATATATCAAATGTGCCGTGTTCCTGCTGACACTTGCTGCCGTTATCATCATTATTATTTGAAATATGAATCATATTACTATTTACTGTCATCATAAAGTCGCTGTGCTTTCCCTCCCACAGGCTTCTGGGGATGGTGGCTCTATCTGATGGTGGTTCTGCAGTGGTCCTGCTGTGCACCGGGCTTGCTACTTGCAAGTATAGCTGTTTTAGGAATTTCATGTTTTGTACATCTTTGACATTGTGCATTCTGTACACAAGCCATTGTAGTCTGAGGATCCCTCCTCTGAGGTTCTCCCTAAGGTTTCTTCCATTTTCCTCCAGGGTTTTTTCCATTTATTTTTTTTCCTGTGCCGATGTTTTTGTGACTGAGGTTGTCACATGTGTACAGACTGTAAAGCCCTCTGAGGCACAATTGTAATTTGCGCGACAGCATTTCAATAGTTAAGTCCTCAACGGCCCCTCATAAAGATCTCATTTGTACCGAATTGATAACAGAGGAATCCTTCATGATGCCGCGTGTCCTTTTTGAATCTCCTTCCAGCTGTTTTCATTATGACGAAAAAAAGTCATGAACGCGATGTATAATTTATCTATTTGGATCTTCACACAATAAAATGATAATGCCTCTCACAAGATGCAGCGTTTACATACCCAACTCGGACTAAAATATCATTGCAACCTCAGCTCAGACACATCGACTCATGATAAAGATAAATGAGTATGAATTCAATGGGAAAACAATAACGTCATTTTGGCGGCTATAAAAAGGCATTAACATTCTGCGTTTTTTAAGAACAGTGTCGGGGGCCCGAGGGGATCCAAACTAAAAATATCAGGAGTCATTCAATTTATACACTTAATCAGAAACCGCTTTCCTCGTTAGAGATGACGTCCTGGGATCAGGTCTGTGCCATACTGCCTTCAGCCTCCGGGGGGCAGGAGTGCGCCTCAACAGGACCCGCAGCAGTTAGTGACAAGTTCATATAATGAAAATAAGCAGGCGGACGATGTAGAAATGTAAAAGAATTGAGCAGGAACCAGACGGGAGTTTCCACGGTGTCCGAGTGCGAGCAGGAAGTGGACAGCAGCAGGACAATGGGACTGAAACCTGTGTGAAACCTCCTCGGACGACCTCTCCAGGCCCCACGGCCCATGAGGTGTGTCATCAACGAGAGGTTCGGAATCTTACTTCTGCATGTGTGTTGTTTTGTCCCACGTTCTGACAACGTGCAATGTGCACGATACATTTGGCACACTTTCTCTGGCACATGAAGTATGAGCTTTTCTTGGAAGGCTCACATTTTTCATTTTTGTGTTGGTTTGTTTAACTGTGTGTGACAATTGCGACGAAGCATTTTGTGCATGTCCCACCCAGGTTTGGTCATAGTTTTGATATGCAGATTTCATATGTGCTCAAAATGTTTATTGTGATTGATAGTGCCGCCGTATTGAGATAAATCAAACTCAAACACCAGTTGTAGATCAATAACTATGATCTGTGCAGACCAAAGATTTTTTTTCACCATATTTAAAATGGTGCAGCTACTAGTCCCCTCCGAATTGTTGGTTCACAAGAGCGTAGGTCTACAGATGCACTACTGGGACATGTTTTGGGGGGACAATACGTCCCTGACAATATGTGAGCGTACATGTCCTCATTGTCCTTGGAGCCAACAGGCTGTTGTGTCATTATGAAATGCTGTTTGATGTTTTCCTGGATTTTGAACAGTTCTCGCTCAAGATTGGCACTTTTATTCTGCACGTCTCGAGAACGCTGATATGCAGCCTGTGTTTTTGGATGTGCAGTTCATTCTGATAAAACACTGTGACCTCCTCAATGCCATTGCTGTGAGGGAGAGCGAGCTTTTCATTTACCATTGTGATGGCAAACATGGACGGAGGAATGTTGTAAAGTTGTGAACTCAGCGGTTTTCTGCTCCCAACACGAGAAAAATAATTCTGCATCACCGTTAGACAGCAGCAGAGGCAACAAACAGCTTCCTGTTGCTTTTTCATACACATAATATGTGCTATTATGGTGTTGGGCACTGATTTGATCGGGGGACAATTTTGTTGCATTATCTTGGTTAGTCCCCAAGTCCAGTTCCTTATTGAGTAAGTGAATAAAAGGCGACGTGCGTCCCTTCCCCTTTCACTTTGCCTTGTTGGCTGCCCGACTGACACATCAGGGGAAAACTGCTTCAAGAATTCTGCTGCAGACAAGAGAGGTACGTTTCTTCACTGTTTATGTTTACCTGCTGCATTCATAGCGTGTACGAGTTTCTTACGTTTGTTCTCAAAGCTAATTCTTTCATACCCTTGGCAGAGAGGTTGTTAACAATGGGAGATTCCCGTGGAAATAAACTGTCCCGTTGGTTTTCATTTGCTTTATGGAAAGGATGAGAAGCTCCATCTCTGCCTCCATTGTGTATTTATGTCAAGATAAAGAAAGATGCAGGCGGTGCTCGGGTTTTGTGGATTGCTTATGATTCATCTTTAATAAGCAGCTAGTTTTCTTCTCTCTCCACTTGTGAGCAGTATTCCACCTTCATTACGAGAGCTGTTGCAGTCGCACCTCTGCTAACAGCGCAGTCTGACTAGTCTGTCGGCTCGCAGACTAAATCCTTCGATTTGAACACGATAAAGCTGTGGCAACGTTGCAAGATAAAAGCATTTAGACCGTTGGCACTTCTATATTCAAAGTGGACACAAAGTGGGTACTAGAACTAGGCTTAATCTAATAAAGCTTGCCTGCTGACTTATCAGTCATGTGGTTTCTTCAGCAGCACTGACACGAGACTCTTCACAGGCTGCAGGGGGAAGCACGTTTATTCAAGTGGACTTGTACTATTTTCTTTGTGTTTCTTCACTTTTCCATGTAATTGTGTGGTTGTGTAATTTGGGTATTGCGGTCAATTTTCCTCCATGACATTTATTTGCAGGGGTTACTCTTTGTAATAAAGAGCAAAAGAAGCGGTTACCAGGGATTCATCTTGCACATTTTTAGTCGTCCTTATATTCCTGGTTTCTATAAGAACATGTTCGTATGCCTTCCCACGATGCCTGAATATACCTGTGTTCGTCATCCGCCTCTTCGAGGCATCCTGCCAAACGAGTTCGGTCTGGGCTGATCATGTGACCCCGGAAGGAGACACACATTTAAATGGCTTGTTGAGTTTGTTTTCTGATCTAGACAACCCACACAACCAACTGACTGGAATGTTCCAGGTCATGGCTCGGTAGATACTCAAGGTCCCCAAATGAGTATGAGTACTGGAGAAGTTAGGGTTTGTCAGCTTTAAAAGGTGAAACCTGCAGTTTAAACCACATAGTGTGTGTGACCGCTTATGAATAAATGCAATGCAGTGGGGCCATTTGTCCCATTTCGGATGTTAGTGTCAATAAACCGTTAACCATATTAGTCACAAGGCCCATTTTTCTGAGGGAAAGTACTTTTGAATACATGACTTTTGCTCACATTGAAGTAAAACAGACGAGATGTAAGGAGAAGAATGATACAATTTCGATTTTCTTTTATAAAAGGGAAGTGAAAGACGATGCACTCCTCTAAAAGAGGAAGCCGTTGACTTAATTAATTCCAAACACCAAAAAGCAGAAACGCACCCTGTGCAGAGTGTTTAGTGTAAGTCGGAGCGTTTAGCTCTTGATCCTTTGTCATTTTATCCCCCAGCAGTCAAGATGTTCCTGTGCTGCTGGCTGGCTCTGGGGGCTTTGATCCCTCTGACCCTGGCCACTGATCCTGGAGTGAAGGTCAAGCTAACTGCAAAAGGCCTTGAATACGGTACGGATCGTTGCAACCTTCCTCCATCATTTGGAAAAGCGCTGATCTGGAATCTCCCCATTACGTTTCCATGTCTCTTTCTTCTAGGCAGGCAACTGGGGATGGCCGCCATCCAGAAGAAACTGAAAACCATCAGAGTGCCAGATATTTCGGGGAAAGCGAGCGTGTCTCCCATTGGCACGGTCCAGTACAGCCTGACGAAGTAAGTGGAGGCCGTTTATTTAACACTCCAGTACATTCTGTCGCAAACTGCGTTGTTTTTAAAATGTGCATGTCGTCTCTTCCAGTTTGCAAATAGTGGATGTGGGATTGCCAACTTCCACTGTAGCTCTGGTTCCAGGGACGGGTGTCAGACTGTCCATCAGCAAAGCCTTCATCCGCCTCGACGGAAACTGGAGGGTGAAGTACCTCCGAATAATGTGAGAGAGAAGAAACGTCCTCCTCATTCAGCTTGGTTGAGTCCATTTTCTTGTCACGTACTACCGCTGACGCTGCGACTCCCTCCTCTTTACAGAAAGGACAGCGGCTCTTTTGACTTGAACGTCAGCGATCTGACCGTCGGTGCGAGCATCGCCATCAAAAGCGACGAGACCGGCCGCCCTACGGTCAACAGCGTGGGATGCGAGGCCACTGTCGGCAGCGCAAGCATCCACTTCCACGGCGGAGCCAGGTTAAAGGAAGCCCCGGCTGTGCCGGCACCCATGCCAGAGAGTGGAATGTGAGCTTTTAGTCTCTCGACGCACCGTCCTAATTCCTGTTACCGCTCCGTGTTTCAGCTGGCTGTACAATCTCTTCAAAGACTTCATCGACAAGGCGATACGAGACGCACTGCAGAATCAGGTGAGGGGAAAGCAGCCTCGTACTTTTACTGCAGCTTTAGATTGTCACCCTTCCTCGCTGGGGAAGTACTCAATAATAATTCATTACTAGGAGGTTCCTCTTTAGACTAGACCACAAAGCTGCTGGGAACCACTTATGGCTGAGGAACAAATATGGTAGCATTCAGTTCCTTGACTGCAACGAAATACCACAACATGGTAAAATACTGTATTATAAATGTATACTGGGGTTATACATTTATAAGCTGGGGTAGCCAATTTCATTTGGACGTCATTGGATTAAAACTCATGAATAAAAATAATAATTCATTATTAGGGCAACATGAACGCGTTAATCAATGCGATTAATGTGCCCGAGATTAATGCAACAAAACAAAAACTAAATGTTTTAATGTAGTTAATGTGCATTTGTACTTCCGGCCGGGAGTAAACAAACATACGTCAACAAACGTACGTCAACAAATTTTGTTGCATTATCCTCGGGGCCATTAATCGCATAGATTAATCGCATGGATTAACTCATTTGTGTTGACAGTCCTACATTTTATTATCCGCTCAAACAACGATGAGATCTACTGTGTTGTTTTCTTTGGACCTGTGAGGCCGTTCTGGATGACGTAATGGGCTGGCGGTTCTAGCTAACTACAACATTGGCAAAGCGTTTCAGATATTTAAACGTTACCAACCGTTCAGACTGCTGCTAAGCGTAGCCGTCCGCTGTGAGCTCACGAAGAAGACTGATGGAGAGAGAACGCTTCTGATAATTTGGCTTTTGCGAACTGTAGCTGACGGAAAAACTAACAATTCATAGAAAAGTAACATGTGACAAGGAGAAACAACTACAAACTTGTTTTCTGATTCAATCTTTAATCAAATGTCACATGTACAGTATATTCTTAAAGTACCTGATGTCTCTCTGAAACATAGTGAAGTAAAAAAAGGGGTCTGAGGATGTCTCGTGAATGCATTCACTTCAAAAAATATAACTGGTATGAGAAGAATTTCTCACAGAATGTGTAAAAAAAACCCTATTAATGAATATATAGTTAATATAATTAACATTACACAGAGTTAGACACCAGCCCAAATGAGGACGTCATGCCTCTGAATCCACTTTGGGGAACTGTAAAAAGAAATGTCTCTGTTCCTCTTTTTTTTCGTTGTTGCAGATCTGCCCCCTTGTGACCGATGCAGTTTCTGATTTGAACCCTCAGTTGAAAACTCTCAATGGTAAAAAAAAAAAAATATCTGTATCAAATATTTGGATGTTTCATTGATGCCGTGAGTGAACGAGACACATTCTGCCTCACCGCAGTTCTAGCCAAAGTAGACCAGTACGCGGAGATTGAATACTCCATGGTGTCCTCGCCCGCTGTGACAACCTCTTCTATCGAACTGGGCTTGAAGGTAACGAAGTGTCCATCTGCACATTTTATATTCTGTGTTGGAAGCTTCGGTTTGGTTACAGAGAAATAGACGACCGTGGCCACATCTAAATCCTTCTGCCTCCGCTGTGTCCTCCTCGCTCAGGGTGAATTTTACAACATCGGAAAGCGGCAGGAGCCTCCGTTCTCCGCCGCGGCCTTTGACCTGCCGCCGCAGACGGACAACATGCTGTACGTCGGCTTGTCCGCCTTCACCGCCAACTCCGCGGCCTTCGTCTACAGCACTGCAGGAGCCCTCAGCTTGTACGTCACCGATGACATGGTGAGCTCCGGCCAAGGTTCCTGCCGCCGCCGCCGATCCGCATTCACCGCGTGACGCTGAACCACGGTCCTTTCCGTCCCGAACAGGTGCCGCGGGCCTCGCCCATCCGACTCAACACCAGAACGTTCGGCGCCTTCATCCCGCAGGTGACCAACGCGTTCCGCTGACTAGAAGAGGCATCGAGGCCTATCGGGTTGTTTGTGAGCCGCGTGTGTATCGGTGTGCTTTTCAGATCGCTGAGCGCTTCCCGGGTCTGATGGTGAAACTGCTGGTGAAGACGAGCGAAACCCCCGTTGTCACGTTTGAACCCAACAACACCACGGTGCAGGCTACCGGGACGGTTACGGCCTACGCCATCCAACCCAACGCCACGCTCTCCCCGCTCTTTGTCCTGAACTTGGTAGGTGACACATCTCGCAGGAAGTAAATCTGTGTGGTCCAAAGTTAATACTTTTCTCGTCGCGTCGTCTCGACAGGAGAGCAGCGCCAGCGCGCGACTGTTTGTCAATGTAATGAGGGTGGCCGGAAACGTCACCCTGAACAAGTGAGTAACCCAACCAGTAAATAACCTGCTGTTCTCACGGGAGGAAAAAAAAAATGGAGGGTCAAAAGTTTGTTGAAAAGATGTAAATCACAGTGCAATTCTGCTTCATTTGCGCAGAATGGATCTGACCCTTGGGACCAGCTACGTGGGCGAGTTTAAGGTGACCACTGCATTGTGACACGCGTCACCGAGTGCACCGCCTGTACTAGCATGACCAACTAACCCCAACCCCAACCCGCAGGTTACGGCCCTCAACAGCGTCTTCCAAATGGTCCTCAAGTCTGTCGTGGTACCTCAACTCAACGGTGAGCTCTGTTGAGATGCAACGTCATCTTCAGCTTTCCACTTCATTGTTGGGTTGTTTGACTACATTTCAGGTCACTCTCAGGACTGTTACATTTTTGGGGCTAGTTTTTCTAAAATGTTTGAAATTTTGCTGTTTCTGTAGTTCAACTTGCAAAGGGGTACCCACTTCCCACGATCGGGAAGATGACACTTGTAAACACTAAGCTTCAGGTCCTGAAGGTCAGAGACTGGTTCTTTTCTTTTTTATAAAACTGCATGTGTTTGAGCGAGCTGCATTCATCATATGAAGAGAAGAGAATCTACATTATGATGATCATCATTAACCGTTGCTGTGCTTTTTTCTAGGGCTATATGCTGATTGGGACAGATGTTCAGTTCAATAGCACTCATGGAGCCTCCCAGGATTCATTTCTGCCCTGGGGCACGACACTTTGAAGCCACCGACAGAAACTGAATAATGCACATATGTCTTACCAGCCTCAGAAATCAAGATCTTGTGTTTGCAATCATATTTGCCTTAATTTTCGTTTTAAATTGTTACGCCAAAGCAGGTTTTCCAGATGTAACACGTGGATCAATGACCTTCTCCCACCGGGTTACTGCAGTCGTGTCCCTACAGGTCGCTCTTGTCATGACAATCATCTTGTTTCTTAATAGAATGCTCCTTCCAGAGCAGATCGCAGCGCTTTCTGCTGCTGACTTTAGAAAAAAAATGATTTCTCAAAGTGTCTGACTCGTGATTCCACAAATGTGCTGATCTGTGATATTTTTACTGTAGTTACAACAAAATAAATAAATGCTTTCACATCAATCAAGCAACCCCCGAAACAAATCAGCCACATGAGAAACTACATCATCCAACCCGGTTTCACTTGCCTGAGATGTATGATGTTGCTTAAAATGGATACACTCAAAGTTGTCACCTTCAAAATCATCCTACCACAATACTGTGCCAAGTTAAGAGCTGTTATGTAGTACTTTATTCACTAACGATAGGGAGAAAAAAAAACACACTTCATTGACTGGGAGGCGACCAACACGATTCTCCACCATAGATGGGGATGGAGAAGGGTACCGACGCCTGATCCTGGAGCTCTGCACGGGACCCTTTATCCAAATAAAACTTTCCCAGCTTTACGTCCAGACAGAAGGAACTGCAGATGTTATCCTGAAAGCCACAAGTCTTCTGACAAAAACAGTAACTTGACCGTGAAAAACACGAGTTCCTGGTCTACTTCAGCTCCAGTGTTCTACGAGGTGAAATGACTTTTTGTCAATGGGGTCTGGTGGCTTTGAAGAGGCCATAAGTTGTAAATGCTATGTATGTGTACAGCAGTGCATTGCCTATCTTCTGTGCTGGTCCACATGTCCCTTTCTATAAAGTGACCGCCAACTACTGTGAGTCACTCATAGAACCTCTCCTCAAAATATTCCAAACTATCCCTTCAAGCTGTCCAAATAATAAATACATACTAGCACTGACTCGAAAACGTCCAACGTGACAGATGACCAAAATGTTTGCGTCCTCCGTGTGTCTTCAAAGTCATTGAGAAGAAAAAAGTGTCCTACTTCCCCCCGAGGTCGTGGTTGTGTCGGAGGCCACGTGGTCAGCCAGCTGGTGGCTGAGGAGAAGCTCGCGACCCTTCATCACGCCGCTGAGGGAACTGTGACTGAGGGCTCGGCCTCTCAGCGTCTGGGAGCTGGACGACAAAATCTATGTGAAGATGAGAAACACGACATCAGAGCGGTTCAAGGATGCAGGAGTTGGAAAGTACCCCGTAAAGGCCGGATGATTGATGAAAAATAAAACAGCATGTGATGGCTGTGTGTTTGTACTGAACCCTACCTTGACCAGCACATAGTCCCCTGGATGGACGGACGCCGTGTCCAATGCTGAAGGCTGGACAGCAACGTCCTCTTTGGGGAAGATCACTTTCATGTTGCCGTCCGTTCTCCCACACAGGTCTTTGGCTGATCTTTTACTTTCCTGCATAGAAATGGAAATCCCGAGATGAGCTTCGTTGCCTGGCAACAGGTCACGGTAATAATGCTGGTGGGCTGCAATACGCGTTACATATTCTATTTACCAGTTTTTCCATATTACAGTATTGTTATTGTTGCCATTATTATGGATTGAGAAACTAATTACCATAATAAACTAAATCAAACACGTTATACAACTGCAATCTTTCAAAATAATGTCCCATGATTATTGAAGACTAATTTATTGTGTAAGAATACCGGTCTGTGCTTTTAGCTCACACACACAATACTGTGGATAAGTAAATGTACATGGTATGATGACGGCCAATCCTCATTTATATTATTATACAACACTAAATTGCACAAAACACAAGTTCAAGGGCTGGTGTACATGTGGGATGTATATTTTCTGCAGATTTTTAAAAAGTCTCAATAAAGGCGGTTTTATTTAAAGCCACAGATGTGCACCTTGTGGTGGAGCAACAGGAAAGATCAGAGGTTCATCCTTTGGGCACCGTCTGTCCAATAGTTCAGTCTGAACAGATGCCCGGGATCATTCCACCCGATCAGTCATCTTTTTTTTTAAACATCTAATAAAAAGAAAATGCGTGCAGTACTCACTCCCTCCACCAGGACCAGCTGCGTGCTGCCGATGAGCGCGGCGTTGACCTTCGCCGCTTCCTCCCTGAACGCGGCGATGCACTCCTCCAGCCGCCGCCGCTTGTCCTCAGGCGGCACGTCGTCCTGCAGCCGATGGGCGGCGTGGGTTTTCTGCGTCACGGAGAGAGAGAGAGAGCGTGAAACACGTTTGACAGTTTGGATTTCATTACAAAAAAAAAAAAAAAAAAAACACAAGACCAACAGATCCCAAACCCGCCACAGCTCACCTTCCTCATGCTGTAGGCAAACAGGAATCCCACATTGTAGCCCACCGCTCTGATGAGAGACAGCGTCTGCTGGTGGTCGTCCTCCGTCTCGCCACAGAAGCCGGAGATGAAGTCACTGCTGAGGCTCACGTCTGACACACGGACACGTTGCTAACGTTGAACACAGAACACACACACACACCGACGTCCCCGATGCGACAGTACCAGAGAAAAAGCGCTTTCGGCTACACGAAGATTGAAATTTTAAGTTAAAATTTGACTTTTCCTTGAGTGAAATCTCAAAAAAGGAACAACACTAAAATATTTCAGTTAAATTCCACCCAAATGTTGGTATGGTTCTTACCTGGGATGATTCTCTTGATGTTCCCAACGAGGTCGAGGTAGGCCTCTCTCGTGTAGCTGCGCATTTCATTGAGCAAAGACATCGTACACTTGAGGACAGTTTAAGAGACTTCACCGCTCCACAGAGACAATTACTTCGACGCTTTAGGAGGGAGGAGGAAAAGCAAAAGTGGCGTCTCACCCGCGCCGCATCGCCTTCAGGACCTCGCTGCTGCCGCTCTGGGCGGGAAGGTGGATCTGGTTACAGATGTTCCCTCGCTCCACGATCAGGTGCAAAACCTGGAAACGCCAGCGCACAGAGCGGGTCAAACGCCTCAGTCAGTTAATACAGGGGGGCCTCCTTTCTGTTTTAACCAGTCAATGGTGTTATGTGGAAGCCCCGAGGGTACAGGGAGAAAACAACATGTGGATATTCATCATCGCATCGCGTTTTCTCTCCTGTGTTGGTGACCTATGGACAAAAAATGTCACTGGCACTTCAAACCCAAGGAACTAGAAAGTAGCACAGTGCACGTTGGCCTCTTGTGGTCGGAATGAGTGTTCGCGATAACAAACAAAGATCCAGGCTAACTTTTGTTACACTGATAAAAAAAATAATAATTAAGGAACTTCGAAACGTTCATCCTAACCCAAAACATCCGTAAGTCATAAACACAGGAGGGAAAACCAGTTAGAATCAGCAGATATTTTGTCCCCTCAGGGCTCCCGTACCTCATCAGGGAAGTCCTTGGGATGCGGTGAGGTGAATCGGATCCTCATGTCGGGATCGATGCGGGACACTCGGTCCAGCAGGTCGGAGAAGCGCAGACCTCCCTGCTTTGCTCTGTACACGGTCTTGAACCCCTGGCTGAGCTTGGTTGGGTCCGAGCCGCAGAACTGCTCCTCCGACGTGTCTCTGTAGCTGTTCACGTTCTGACCCAGGAGAGTCACCTCCTTCACACCCTGAAAGAAACATACTGATTTTTATCCAATAGTAATAATAATAATAGTCAAGTTAAGACTAAATGTCCCGTCCTCCTTTCATCACGTCTCAGTTATCCTGTTTTCAATGTCACATTGCAATGAATTGTGGGTATTTCCCCTCACAGAACTGTGACTACACATGACCCCCGTCGCTTAACGTTTCAAATTGATGGTGGACAAGCGGGTGTCATGATATTATTGGTTGGAAGTGGTCGGTACCAGGCGGCTTCCTCGGGTTCTGCCAAGTGAAGGCGATACGGAAGTTCCTAAATTGTGCATCAACTCTACTGACCAGCAGGGGGCGACTCTGGATGCAAAAAGAACTCTCTTGATTTATTCCCAACATCGTAAACTTGAGTTCATGGTTACAATCTCTTGTTTGAGTCTTCTTTAATACGTTATGATGTTCGATTAGTAAATGATGGTCCTTTTAGATTCAAATGGATCACTAAATCAGGGTATGATTGACAGGTTAATACCACTACACAGCATTCCAAATATGAAATCATCCCTGGTGGTTCACTGGGAAAAAACAGGCCGGGGACTTTTGCATTTTAAACTCGACTATAAACCCAATGTCTTTTGTTTTAGCCGTTTGATTCACCACGAGGTGTTTTACAAAACATATCGTCTTTTCTCTCAGATTTCCATTTCCATCCCACAATCCTAGAAATGCTGCGTCCCAGCTCTGCTGCTGCTGCTTTGCGTGTGAATCTAAACTGGGGTTGGGGGTCCCGGAGGGGGGTCTTCACTCGCCTGGTCAGACAGCACGCGGACTTCCTCCAGCACGGAGCTGACGGGTCGGCTCCTCTCTCTCCCTCGGGTGAAGGGAACAATGCAGTAACTGCACATGTTGTCGCAGCCTCGCATGATGGACCTGTCGGCACAAAGACATTCTCTCACACACACACACACACACACACCAAAGACACAGTGCCGCTGTAGATAGATGGATGACAAAAATACACCTACACAAAGGCAGTGTTCCCCTGAGGAGCATGGTGGACGGGCATGACGTCGGCGTAGGTCTCTTCCAGCGACAGCAGCACGTTGCTGGCCTGAAGACCCCCGTCAGCCACGGTCAAGAGGCGGGGAAGGTCCCGGTAGGCGTCGGGACCGGCGAGAACGTCCACGAGCTTCTCCCGCTCCAGCAGCTCCGTCTTCAGCCGCTCTGCCATGCAGCCTGCACACAGGACAGCGTGTCTGTGTGTGTGTGTGTGTGTGTGTGACAGCGCCCGTCGGTCCACACGTGGACCGCAACTCACCTAGAATCCCAATCTTCATCGGCGCGTGGCTCTTCAGCCGCCTCTTCTTCAGGGCCGTCAGTTGTCGCAGCCGGTTCCAGATGGTCTGCTCGGCCTTCTCTCTGTGGGGGAGCAGGAAGCGGGTCTCACGGAGGCCTTGATGTGCCAATGAAGACCGGCGGTCAGGACCTTACCGTATGGAGCAGGTCACCAGAAGGACAACGTCTGCCTGTGAACACACAATATTCACCGTTCATTCTCCCCCCCGCGTGCGTCAAGGTGAGGTCGTGTGGAGACCGTTGAGGTCTCGCGTACCTCGCGTAAGTCGGCTGTGCGCAGGTATCCCTTCTTCTGCAGGATGGACCAGGCGATCTCCGTGTCGTTGACGTTCATTTGACACCCATAGGTTTCAAAATACACTGATACGAACACACACACACACACAAAAAACATACACCGGATTAGAGTTCAACCCGAGCAGTTGGAGGTGAAGTGGGTTTCGGCGAGCGGACGCACCTTTCCTGGAGTCGCCCATCGAGAGGTCCTCGGACAGGTACGCGTGCGAGTCGCAGCCCCCCGCGGCTTCTGCACGCGGCTTATGGACAGAAACACCTTTTATGAAGTCCTGAAAACTCGGACCGCGCGACACCTGAGCCCTGAACCGGTCTACGGGGGTCTTCCCGTCCCTCGGTAGGTTGGAACAACACCTGTGTCGCGCGCACACGAGGGGCTTCCAGTGGTGGGGAAGCGTCATCAGAGGTTTCCTCAGGTATTCCATACTCACGCGTCACTTTGGCTGCACGAGCTCTGTCGCTAATTTAAAGGTGGGATTTGGCTCTGAACGAGCTACTGTGTTAATCTCACTGAAGTAGCGCTGCTAGCTGCGTTGTTGGCTAAATGTCATTCAGACGCTCGCGGCTGGTGTAGCCAAAGGTGTTGTAACAGCGAGAGGAAAATCTCCCCGATCCAAAGCAACGCTGTGAAAACCCGGAAATAACGTTGAGCTCTCGCAAAGTACGAGGTTGCGGGGGAATAATTAGTTTTGGTAACAGTCGAAGGAATCCTAGTCTATTATTAAGTTAGCTAGAGTATTACTACCATGTTTACCTCAACAACTTCATCAATGCATTTACTTATTTGCCAATGGTTTCTATCGGCAATTTAAAAACACGGCGTGGTGGTCAGGAAGAAAAATACGTTTTATTATCAACGTTACATTATTCCTCTAAACTTTGAAAGCTATGAGAGCGACACATGGGTGGTTAATTGAGCAGTAGAGAGTCCTGCTCAGCCAAACCGGAAGTTAGCAACAGAGAACGCTCTTGTGTCCCAATGATCCGTTAGACAAAGGTGTCCCCGGGTACATGCGGCTTAGCAGTCCCTCCAAAACGCCTTCTTCAGGTGAAACAGCGTTCCGGGGGTCGGCGGAAACTTAGAAGTGAGTTTAGAGAATTATTAAAATGTGGAATCAGTTAGTTAAACACACAGTATCGTATTGATACCGTTCTTGTTTTTCACGTTAAAATTCCAAACGTTGTTCAAGGGATGACGGTTTGTGGGAGAGGAAGAACGGTGTGGTATCAAAATAAATGTTTAACTTCTCCTCTGAAAAGTATTTACATTGACAGAAACTATGTTCATGTATATCTATCAAAATAAACAGATACAAATCAATCCATATGTAGCATCAACTGTTAAATATGAGTTGCAATGTCAAACAATGGCTTCCATTCAAAATTGTATCAGAGAGGTGTTTGTTAAAAATAATAGAGGTGTTTATTAAAAATTAACCTTGTTTATTAGGCAGTATTAGAAATGAGTAATACTAGGCTTTTTTACAGGTGTTTTTATTATATTTTTATTTTATTAGTTGTTCTCATGGTTCCTGTGGACAAAATCCACTGAAATGGTCAGAAAAGGTCTAGACCATTTGTATTTCCTTGAAAGGCACCTGCTGCATTTATTGTAGGGACATAAATTGCGTAATAGACATAATCTTTAAACAATTCTTATCATTTGTTTTTTCCTTCATGACATTTTTCCAGCATTCTCAATTAATCTAACAAATATAAAAACAATTATGGCAATAACGCATAATGAAGAACCGAGACAAGGAGAAAAAAAGAAGACAACCCAGGGAGAAGGAGGGAGGCGCGGAGGGAGGGAGAGAGAGAGATCATGTGTGATGTGGGAGTGACTGGGAGCTACAGGTTCATATAAGCTCTCCACGGATGGACGGATGACAAACCGTACGCTCCAGCGTTGCTTTCCTCCAGCCTTTTCCTGACAGTGAGAGACGATGAGAGCGGAGGGCACCCAGTAAAGAGGAACTGCAGGGACGCTCGCAACTGACACCAACAAAAATACCCAGGTAACTCTTCAACCCCTGCCCATGGGGGGGCGGTGAGTGTGTTCTGTTCAAATAATCAGATGTATTTGAGATGAAATGGTGACGTGGTCCATCGTAGTATACATCTCTCTGCCTTCTGCAACTTGGGGTCCTTCTGGAGAGCGATGAGGCTGGTGGACGGAAACCGCGGTTTCATCTTTTTGTTGTGTTTTTTTCTAATGTCATTTCTACTCCTGCCATTTATTCCAGCCGTCCATTCTTCTCCAGGACTGACTGTGAGGATGAAGAAAGCTGCACTGCTGCTGTCTTGTTGCCTGGTCATGTCTTTATCAGGCTCCCCGCTCTACCCGTCCATCAGGTAAGTCCTGCAAGGTGTAATGAAATCCTGTCCAGCGTCGACCTTTCCTTTTGGTGTTCGTGTTTCGTATTTCATTTTCTAAAGTTATTCAAATATTTTTGGACTGGTCGTATACTCTCGAGGCATTTTTGAAATTGATTTCTCTGGATAACATTTTTTTTTTTAATAGAATTTGGACAGATTGCATCAACACACAGAATACACTCCTCCGCATGATCAAATGTTGCTAACCTCCAGGGAGACAGATGATTGGAAACCTCCAGTGAGTGAAATGGGAAACATCTGAATGTTTAAAAGCTGACATCCTGTGCACGAAGATGCGCAGCATGACACAGACTTGATCTCAGAGGGTGCGCAAGTACGACTTCCCCACGGCGTCGGGGTTCTACGACGTGACGTCTTGCCTCTCACATGCATGTCATAGCTGTGCCTTGTGCATATTGTTACGCAAAAAATAAGGTCAAGATGTGCGGATTAGTCACCACGGTACATCTGCGCAGCGTTCTAACACATTTCATAAGAGCTTCAGCTTATTGCCTGAAGATTCAGGGCATGATTCTCAGTCTGAAATCCGTGGAGATCCTTGACTAGAAAGTTCCACGATTGTTTGTTAACGAGGATATTTCTCAGGTTCGGCCAGAGGGACACGTCCATCCTGATGACATCTTCTGTGGAGAATCCAGCAGAGCAGCAGGAGGACGACACGAGTCCTCCCAGGGAGCGAGCGGAGTTACGGTCAGCGTGGCGATATGGACCGACTGGCTCATCTGAAATGGCTCAAGGGGCTTGATTTACCCAAGTTACAGAAAAAACAAAACAAGGGGAATATCTGTGCAAATAATAATGGTTTTGGATTTCCGCCTCCATCCACAATATAACAGAACAGCTGCAATTCCAAAGAATCAAAGAATTCTCTGCCGGCGTGTCCATTCACAACAAGTGGGCTGGAGTAGGAGCTATTGATCTGTTACATAGTTATGAAAAATTCAAAAATGTGTCCACAGCAAATCGAGATTGAAGGATATCTCCTAATCTGAGCAAATAAAATCCAAAAATGTCAAACATCAGGAGACGTCCCATTTCACATATATTATATTTTATATATATATACACCACATAACTTCGTTCATCACTTGGCACTATTTATCTTTCATTCTCATGTATCTTTTGTTTAGTTCTACATTTTTAACGTGCATTGTTGGAGGCAGCTCTATTGTGCGTGATGATAATAAAGAACTTGAATCTTGAAATCTTCTAAGTCCAGTGAACTGGCCCTTTAAGTGGATAACGCTAAATGTACAGACAGATACGCTCCCCAGCTGTCGTGTTGCTGCTGCTGCTGCTTCACTGCACGGCCTTCCACATTATACTGTTGCACAGATGTGACTTTGTCCTCTCTCTGACTCCAGCTCCGGACGCCACGCTGATGCCATCTTCACCAACAGTTACAGGAAAGTGCTGGGCCAGATCTCTGCCAGGAAGTTCCTTCAGACCATCATGGGCAAGCGGCTCGGGTCGGTGCCGCGTGAGGGGGAATCTGTTTGACAGCAGGAATAAACAGTGAAATATGAACTGCTGATGTTTGCGTTTTTCCCTCCCTGCAGAGATAAAAGTGAGAGCTACGTGAAACGTCAATCAGACATCTACGAGGGGACGTACAAGGAAGATCTAACGTCCATCCAGAGCAACCAGAGGTAGAGAAGAGTGCAGGGGAACGTCACGAGGCGCGGGTGAATGAATGCTGGAGAATGACACGTGTCACTGATCACGCTCTCTCTCCACAGACTGCTCAGCTGAGAGTCGGGGGATCAGATTGCTGCCGAAGCTCCTGGCCGACAGAATTCTTCATCGCCAGAAAGGCTTAAAAGGCTCTCTGCGGATGAAAATGATGTGGTCACTGTTTTTTTTATTTAAATGAAATGTAAAGCCCAGCTCATGACTGTGGAATAAATGGCACTGAGGAAATTCAAGTCGTGCACTCTTCTTGCTTTAACACAAATACTAGGTGGTGTTATTTGTTTAAGAGGGGGAACTAGAGGTGAATTTATGTTTACAATAGGATGTTAGTTATTCTAAAATGTATGTTTCAATATGAAAACAAGGCTTTATGTAATGCTAACTTGTAGTAAATTTAGGAGAAATCTAAAGAAACTAATAGTGCTAAAATAAACATTTAAAAATGTTTTCTTTGAAAACCTAGTGGACCGAAAATGCCACACTGACTTTATAACATTATACATTTTGAACTAAATAAAGTGTATATTATACATGAGGATTAAAAAATATATATTTTTTAAATACCTACCTGCCCCATCAGGACAGCGGGTGTGGCTATTTAACCAAACAACTTAGCAAACGTCATCAGATTCGAACTCAAATGTTGCTCAACCCTTATTGGTGCAAAGAAGCATTTGACATCATTTTCACAGTTTTTCCCCGCCCACTTAAAACAGCAGGGGCAGAAATGGAATAAAAACAGGGGTGAAATGCGAAATAACAAAAACACTTTAAACTAGAATAAAGTGTCAATGTGGGAGTCCGTCCCTCACAGTGAGTTAGTGGGTTTTTTCGTCGCATCTTGGCTCAACAAGGGTGAAACAAAAAACCAAAAACAAAACAAAAAGAGGGCTATTGAGGGAAGGCCTGAGGAGCGGGTGCCGTACTCACCAAGTATTAAAATGACTAGTTTCTCACGATCAACGACCACAGCTTTAAGTCAGGAATTAAAGTCTTACTTCATGGATTGGATTTGCCCAATACGGAACAGTGTGCGCGGAGAACTTTGCAGACCCACAGTGACCGTTTGAGGATCTCGTGACAACACGGCAGGCACGGAAACACCTCCCATCTCCGATCGGACATCAGACACAAGAAGCATCATAACGTACCGTACACCAGTTAACCACTTTATCCAATGTAGGAACACAATCTCCTCCTCATCATCATCCTCTGGGACTCTGTTCTAGTTCTTCCCCTCTACTTAAAGAAAGACACTTCAGTTCACCTCCACTTCTTTATTTCCTCTTCTTCATTACAAAAACATCAAATTGCCCACATTTCTTTATCGACATTTTGTTTCTGGGGGATGCAGACTCTCTATCAAGTAGGGGACTCGCGATCGCTCCAACACATGATGCACCAAACAGGCAACCTCACTGGCATAGTTCAACGGATCAGTGCCAATACCAATGTTTTTGTGTTTCCAGCTGAAACAAGTAACCGCTTTTTGTTACAAGGTGAAATGGACATTGAACGAAAAAAAAAGAGGAATGTACAAAAAAAAAAAAGGGGCAGAAAGTGTCAAATCAAACCCCAAATCGATGAAATAAAAAAATGAAACAAATGCAAACCCCCCCCCCAGCTCACATGGATCAGTCTGGCAGGTTGGACAACATGAACACAAATCTCACAGGAAGATGAAGTGCAAATGATCAGTAGCTTTACGCCCGCGGTAACGCTGCGACTTCTCCATTTCTTCCATTTGGCAACGCGGACAAACTGCGTTTTTAAACTGTCGATTGGATTCTTAAACTGCCAATCCGTGTTTAAAAGTCTGATTTGATGCATCGTTGAATGACTCCTTGGAAATGAAAAAAAAAACAAAAAAACAAAAAGAGCTTCGTCGGTGTCTTTTTCATCCTCTTATTTCTTCTCAATTCTGTAGGAGAGAGAAAGAGAGAGAACAGTTATTAAGCATCAACCAGCTGATTGCTGACAAAATCCCATTAAAAATAAAAAAAAGTTTCAATCATGCATATTAATGCACAACAAACAATGTTATTTTGGGAAAATGAACACAAACGTCTTCAAGTCCTGGACGACGCACACCTCGGCCCATGAACACAAAACAACAAGTCACTCAGATGTGATGGCACAACCAGGACCACAATGGAGGGATTACCACCGTGCTGGTATGACTATGACCATGGTGGGATGGGTGAGAGGCAAACTGGGAGGGAGGGAGGGGGCAAGTACATGTGAACACTCGGGAGTCAGAATGATTGAGCAGCACACAGCCATGCAGCGGCCAGCCGTTATGGAAATGCACTGAGGATGCAGACTATGAGGAAGTCCCTTACTTCAGCCTGGAAGCCGAGCGACTCGTTTTGTTACAAATGTGGGAGGGGGGGTGAAGAGCGGAGCGGAGGGAGAGGGGGGGGGAGGGGTGGCTTTAACATACAGGCCTATACTGTGCTAACCGATGACTCTGTTCTGCTGGAAACCTGAGACATGGACATAGAGACACCGGGGTGACAATAAAAGGTCCAAAGGCGCTCGGGCGCAAAGGAGACACACCCTCTCCCCAGAAAAAGAGGAAAAAGATTTTTTGGGGGGGGGAGTGGGGGCAACACTTGGGTGATCATAATGGCATAGTTCTGCTTGCTTCTTAAAGTGGGTGGAACTGGGTCGTCGCAAGAGCAAGAAGAGAGAGAGCGATCGCGGCGGGACGCTTTGAGTCAAGAGACACTCTGCCCCGAGGACTCTCCATACGGAGCGGTCCGCTTAGATTACCAGCAGTTGCGGATTCTGCTGCCGCAGCTTAACTGCCGGTGCAAGTAGCACGAGGGGCCCCTGATTGATTCGGGGCCCCCGGGATTAAACTGGACTCTCTAGGGAGAATTTGCACCAGGAGACGTACCTCTTGACGGCTTTCTGGGCCAGCATGCGGTTCCCGGCGAGGAAAGTCAAGCCGCCGATGATTGCCAGGTACTTCAGAGTCTGGAACATGTTCAGGTGGGTCCAGTAGACGTACATCAGGCCCAGCATGGCTGAAACGAGACGGGAGTGTGAGCTGGAGCATTGGCGTCCAAACAAACATCGGGTCGTATGTCAGCGGCTCCCGAATTGGGAGGGGCGGGGAACTGTCCCTTGATTTACTTATTATCAATAAACAATAGACTCATTATTTATTTTTTATTATGCTTCAATACAGCATTTAGTGAGTTATGGTCCATTAAGAGTCAAACAGAGCATGAAGCAGGGGACGCTGTAAGACATAAGGACACAGCGACTGACAGTTGTCCTGTACGTATTTTTGTCTTAGAACTTTAACCCTCTGTGTTTTAACACAATGCATTTGTTTATGCTTTGGACATCAATCAATCCCTCTTACCTGCTTGAATTTAATACTAAATATCCCCTTTTCATCATCTTTCCCTGCTGAGATTTCAGAAGCTTTAATTACTTTATCAACTACTTCGTATTGAGAGTTTGCGTGTGGAATAATGAAGATAATTGCATAACGTCGCAACGTCCTAGTGTTGTTAATCGGATTCACACGTGGTCAGACCAGCGGGCAGATGAATCATGGATGAAGAGGCTGTGAATCAATGACACGCGTGACAGGGACCAACCTGCGTGTCCCGCGTGGAACAGAACGGTGCTGGGAGTGAAGCTGAAGTTGGACATGTTGGCTCCGAGCTTAAGCCACTAGAGACAAGAGGGGGAATAAAAGACAATGTGATCTCCATCCCCTCCACGAGCTGCAGACAAAAAGGTGTTTACCGCCCAGCGCACAATGCAACAATAACGGTTACTCAGCGCTGCAAAGGCCACGGATAAAAATACACCGCGGCTATTGTGATTTCCAAACTAAAAAAAAAAAAACAAGCCATAGAGTTGCGCAGCACTTGGAGCTGCATTTGTGGTTTATGAAAGCTTACTACGGAAGAGCTTTTGAGAAAATAATTAACATGGCAGGAGGCCCGTTTGTTGATGGGCCTATAAATGATTTCCATAGATGAGTTCAGATGTTCTGAGTCGCCGTGGTGCGAAACACTCATAGTAGTAGATCGTGGTTATGAGAATAAGGGGCAATTATACAGCTGTGCATCGGGGTAAGTAACAACTTATTTTAAATCTGTATCAGTTTGTTTAAACCTGTGCATTGACTTTGAATGGAATCTACTTGTGAAAACGGCGTGAACGCAGCATTAGCTGGTTTAAATACGTTATGCTGCTGACCACCTCCTGTTTGTCCAATGGCATCAAAAAATACAAAACTAATAAAACATTTTCCGTTTGAACCATTACCAGGATGAGCAGAAGAAGTAAGGGAGACAGGATGAGGGCAGTGAAGGTGTTGGAAACCACCGTGGAAGGCTTCTTCTCTGGTTCCCTGAATAAATGCTGCAAAGAAACGGAGTATTTAAACGACTATTTTTTTCAAATCACACGGGAGTGAAGAGGATTCTAAAAAAGGAAGTACTGAAGCGTTACCTGGATCTCTGGTTTGGGCATGTAAAGAGTCTTGGGCTGAACGGCCACCGGGGCCTCCTCATCCACGAACTTCAGAACAACGTCAGCCTTTCAAGAGATTGCAACTCACTTTAGAGCTCAATAGAAAACTTCTCACCGCCACTTGTGACAGACAGCAAATTAGCCACATGAAGTCCATGAACAGACACTCACCACGTTCCACAAGATGGGATTCTCCAACGTAGCATCCCCAACGATGAGGTGGAGCGAGTAGGTGCCGGATATGGAGTTAAACTCGGATTTCCGCTCCGCTGTGTCCAACTCAAACTTGTACACAGACTTGCTGTCGGGTTCGGCCACAAACACGACCTCTTGGCCAGTTTTCTGGTTGTGCAGCTTGACGAAGGTCTGAGACACAGAAAGCAAACCTTTAATCTTGGACGAGGCGGAAAGCTTATTTGGTTCCCCGAACTGGACGCAGCGGTTTTCTTGTTAATAGCTGTACGACGGTGGCAGCGTGCTGCTGCCGGGAGCTCGTGTCCTACGTACCTGGTGAGGGGTTAGCTCCACTCCGGTGTTGGTGTCCACCAGCTGGAAGGACATGGCAAAGTTTTGGTGGCTGTCGGCTGTGAAGGAGCTCTTGCCTTTGGACGGATAGTCCACCCTGGATCGTGATACAAGGAGGATTTAGTAATCGGTGGCGGCACTGCGCCGGGACAGCCCACTTCTCCAACTCGTCCCCTCACCTGGTGGTCTTTGTGCCGATGCTCTGGTCCTTATCCACCACGGACAGGTCCATGCTGGTGACGGACACCTCGGTGGACACCTTCACTTTGAGCTGCAGGCGGACAGAGTTTTTAGCATTGCCCAGCAATATTTTTAACATACAAAAATAGAGACAATCATCTGTAGAATTATGCTTGATGATGGTTATGTTGTGATTTTATGTGATAATGCTCCATTTTACTTGACTGAAAGCATAAAATGATTGAAACCATATTTTCAGTCTTGGCTACTAAGAGTTGAGCACTTTAAAGAGTTGGCGCTGAGCGCTCTGACTCAACAGCTGCCCGTCGGTTAGCATCACATTCTCCACCAGGAACATTCCACTAGTGTCAAATGTCGCGTCTCGGCATCGGACCGCCCCCTCACCTCAACGTGATTGGCAACAAGCCGGGTATCCCCGGTCACCGCAACGGTGAACTGGTAATATCCACTGGTCGGCTTGCTGGACATGAAGTTCAGTTCAAAGACGCCGCTGAAAATGAAATTAACAAAATACGACACGTGTAGATTTGACCAAAACAAGGCGGGGCTTTGATCACATTTTTTAAATGACAAAAAAAAAAATATATATATATATATATATATATAATATTAATATACAAGCTGAATTTCAGCCACCAATGGGAAAGTGTTGGGGCGTTTTGCAGCGAATTGTCAAAGCCAACACTCCTCTCCGATCATACTTACTCGTTAAGTGTGAACGGAGCCTGGCTGAGGATGACGCTCTTGGAGGCCACGGCGTACGCAGATTCCACCAGCACGTTGGCCATCGCCAGAGGTTGAGACATCACATCGGTGACAAGGAGCTGTGAATCACACAGACAAACGACGTCACCGCGAGCTAATCAAAGCCCACTCAGAGGGGCCGAGCCAGATGGAGATCCCACAATCCGTACCTGCAGGGTCGGCTGGCTGTGGGACACTGTGGCGGGCCCGGGGGCGCTGACGATGACCGGCACGTGGAAGCGGTTGTTGGAGAGAGCGGCGGCGGCGCTTGCCACGCTGAAGGCCTCGGCCAGAGAGTCCCAGGATTTCTTGCTGAAGATAGAGTTCACCAGCTGGATGACCTGGTCCTGTGGCACAAAACACATCGGCCATCAGTTTCAGATAGGGAAAAACCCCATTGGGGACAAAGGGCGGACGGACAGACTTCGTACCTCCTTCAGAGGGGGCTCCATGTCAACGTGGTCGGACAGGGAATAAGCGGCCGTCACAAACAAGGCAGTCGCCTCGAGTCCCTCCTCAAACTGGAGGTAGATGCCACCAAGATCATCCAAACGAGGTGTAAGGTCCTGAAAGGGGAGGCGGAGGCAACACATGAGTTAAAACTTCAGAGAATTCAAAATACCTTTGCATGCTTTCAAGTCCAGTGCGACCGGTGCAAAGTCGGCACACAGCCCCACCTGGTGGAGGTTTAAGAGCTCACCTCGATTTCCTCCAGTATTCCTCCAAGCTCTGCCTGCTTGGACAGGCGAGCAGCGGTTTGCAGAGCCAAAGTGATTCTGTCCACAGAAGAAGACATTTGCAGAGAATCAGATTGGCTCATGAGCACCAAGAGAATGCCAGCGCACACCCTCAAACACCTACGCCATGACGTTGTCCTCCTTGCTGATGCGACCAGTCAAGGCACCAACAACTTCCTGGGAGGCCAGAGCAAGCCCCAGGGAGCGCAGCGCGCTCACGGCTCTGTGAATCTGAGTCATGGTGGAATCCTCGCTGACCGCCGCCAGGAGGATGTCTCGAGTTTCATTGGACACGGGGATCTAAGGAGAAAAGGAAAATCCCACGTGTTAGTTTACGGGCAACATAATCTTACATTATTATTTTTATGATTGTGGTTTAAAAGTGTATAACATCTTATGCAATGATTTCAAATTCCTATTACCAGAAAAGATTTGCAGTTGCAATTTGCTATGATAGTCATTTAAATGTTTTGAGATGTGTGTACCTTTGTCTATATTGTCCAGGCAAAAACACATTTAGCTACTTTATCCAACAATGCTTTCGCATTGAAGGAATAAGAGAGGACTGAGAAGAAAGCTATGGAAATCGTACCTCGCATCCTGAAATGGCCTGACTGGTCTCAGCAGCGAAGAAGACAGAGTTCACGTCAGTGGGGTCGAGCTGGGATTTGAGAAAGCGGCACACTCCCTGCAAACACAAACACACACATCTTAATCCAAAGAACATCGAGGATCAGCCTGTGCAATGTCATAGTGATCGTCTCACCTCGTGATCGTGAACGGTGGCCCCGAGCTTGGTCAGACCAACCACCGAGTAGTACGCAGATTCCAGATCAGTGAATTGTTGGTTCAGGAGGCTCTGCAGTCGGGCCACATCGGACAGGGAGAGGTAGTGCGCCGGGGTGAGCGCCTGAGCTCCAGCGAGAGCCAGGCTGAAGAGGAACAAGCCGAACAGTCCTGCGGACACACAGCAGGAACACGCGGGTATTTATATGCGTATTTACGGGTAACCGGCCCATAAAGCAAACACTGTATTCGTACAATAAAGCTACCATCTCTCGTTACGAAAGCCATTCATTCATGGAGACATTACATTGAGCTCGTTCGTTCGGAGATAATAATGCTACAAGGTTAGCTAACGCTAGCTAGCGTCGGTGGGGAGCTACGCGGCGCGTGCACTCGGCGCAATTTCGTCAACAATTCTCAAATTGGCGATAAACTAAAAGCATATTGAAAACTGCAATACCACGAGGAATACGCGTATTCAAAATGTACACATTAAATCACTTACGAGACCGGTCCATGTCTTGCAGTCTTATGCAGCGTCACCAAAACCGACTACTGCTTCCGGTATGTTGGCGTGAGCTGTCACCAAAGGGATCATATCCGGCGGGCGTTTGACGTTTCAAAATAAAAGCCACAGTAAGTACACGTCAGATAACGTCGAATGCATTAGCTCGCGTCAATAAATTATAGGCTGTTTATTAATAACATTACAGTGGCATAAACTATTTCTATAAAAAAAGCCACGCATTCTCCCACAATGTGTTGTATTATATGAAATGGTATTTTCTGAACCTATCGCATCTTAGAACGACGCTATGTTAACCATCAACGTTAAATGCTTTGTGCTGTTGGAAAATAAATAGCGACAATGTGTACACTGAACATAATAATTGTGTTTTATTACATTTCGTAACAAAATGCTTTATGATAAAGTAAAAACACACAACTCTAAATATTTACAAACAGTGCCATATGACATTATATTCTTAACATCAACAGCATCCATTCCTGCATCCCGTCGCAGCTGCACGGATGCTGCTGCAACAACTGTCCCTGTGTATTCATCACTCAGTTGGATCTTAATCAGAAATATGTCTCTTTCGTGGATAGCAGACGCCTCCTGTGGTCACTGCTGAATCTCCAGCAGGCTCCCAACCCCCCCCTTTGCACATCACGTTTAATTTGCATATTGCGACGTGTATTACAAATCTATACACATGCCAAAGATTTGTACAAGACAATGTTCACTTAACATTTTCAACATGAACATCTCTAAATGCGTTGTTGATTAAGCGGTCTGAATTTACTCCATATTCCAGTCATACAACACAACTTAAAAGCAAAGTCTATGTATTATTCCCAACTTTAAAAAACAAACAGTTAAATTACAGACATATTACGCAATGTAAAACCATGTCTTTTCAGTGATAGAAAAAGTGTACGGCTGTGATTTTCCTTAACGATTCTACATTTATTGCTTTTTTTGTTGTTTTAATACAATGAAATGTATTGCTTTTTTTTTTTTTAAAGCCCCACAAGGCCACTGGAGTGGGACTGAATCTAAAATCCCCGGTTTCAATGATCTACGGGGCTACGTATTTTTCAGTGTTGTGATTACTTGAGTGAAGTGTACTAAACCTCACAAGTTGCAACAGCAAAACAGAACGGGGGACACACGGCAACATCAGGTTGACGTGAAGACGAGACACGACTCAGGACAAAATCAGCGCCCGGCTGGTGCCGTGGGACTTCAGCGAGCGAAGGTAACGCCTCGCTTTCTCCGTCATTATGAGCTGGTCTTTTGTCTGTCCGCAAACAACCGTCTCCCATTCTTTAGACATCTGAAGGGAGAGAGAACAAAATGATGGTCAAAACAGAAAAAAAAGCTACATGAAAATACTTTCCTACGTAGCAAGACTCGGGTTCATTTTAAAACGGTTCAAGGAAGTGAAACTTACCAGAACTGGGGGCACCGTGCTGGGAAATATGGCACTGTCGCTTGGTCCCAAGAGGAAGCCTTGATCCAAAATACTGTCGTGCTGCTTACTGCAAAACGACGAGGAGTTGAGCGACACCAAAACCGGCTCCTCCTGTGGGCCGGAAGAAAAGGTTAGGATGCGTCGAATCGACGGCACGCCTAAAAATACCTGTAGACTTCTTTTCTTACCTTAATTGTGTTTTTGGCTTCAGTTTTGCTGGATTTGCGTTTGGAGGTGGGCACCACATGACAGTCCATGACATCCAGGGCCAAAGATTTACGCACTTTCTTCATAGGAGGCCGATGCTGGGAATAAAAACAACAATCAAACACTGAGAAAGACAACGAAGAAACGACCGTAAATAGAAGATACAACAGGTGCAGGTGGAAATGGAAGGTCAGAATTGAACTTTTAATGATTGTTAAGGTTACAGCATGGACACTAAAACTTATTTATAATGCCTTTTTTCACAGAATTCCACAGAATGCCTAGTTTTGGTTTAACAAATAGGCCATTGAGCAGAGCCGTGGCCAATAGCTGGCCAGTTAATAGCTCGTAGCGTGCATTATTAAAAAAAGACAGGATGGATTCAAACAGACGCGTCCGAGGTTGACCCCGTTACCATGGTCTTGCGCCTTTGCTCCGGCGGAGTCGAGCGCGCCCCGATCAAGTCGATCCCAGAGTCTCTCATGATGACCTCGTTTATGTCGTCTTCAAGGTTCGGGGTCTGAGGCTGAGAGAACACAGCAGACCAGAAACTGTCAGTGCGGCGCTGAAGCCGTGAGGTGGAGCCGCCACCCAACCCCCCCTCCCCCCCGCTGAGGGGCGCAGATACTCACCAAAGGCTGCAGCGGCCCGTACTTCTCCATGGCGTTCTTGAACGGCGTCGGAGTCCGCGGGGTCGAGCAGAGGTCGGACTTGTGGTTGGGTGTGACGAATCTAGAATGGAGACGAAAGGTGACGCAAGTTAAAAATCCAGCGATGGATCTAAATCAGGCTCAATTGCGGCCTCACTTCGAGGCTAAATCAGCAGATTCAACGCACTGCCGGTACATCACGACCACATCACTGGCGTTACACAGCAATGTCAGTTTTAAACTCACGCAGAGTTTTCCTTCTGGGTGAGCGGGGTCTTCTCGCGCTGCAGCGGCGTCGTAACAATGGCCCTCTGGCTGCACACCGGCGTGGATGTGAGGGACGGGTTCTCCATGTCGTGAGTGTCCTGCTTGGTCCACAGGTTCAGGAACTGCAAGGACACGCGTTGAGTTAAAGGACCATCTCGCAGCAGGACAAAAAAAAAAAAGGCAGAATGCGGCACGGTTTTCCAACTTACCTGAGACGGAGAAAAGGGCAAGATTTTGACGGGAGTGCTTTTGGGGGTCATGGAGTTATGGCCGTCGGGGGACAAGGCGATGCGTCTCCGGCTGCGGCGGTTCAGTATGGAGGGCGGGGTGATCCCGCCGGGAGAGATGGGGATGAGCTCGCCCTTGCTGCCTTTGCTCAGCTCCTGCAGGGCGCTGCCCTCCAGGCGGAACTGGTGGCGCTCCGGGCTGGGGCTGTCCTCCGGCAGGTCAAAGGCCGCCAGGTTGCACCAGCCATCCAGGTCCTGATGGCAGGAGAGATGCTTTACTTGGGAGGCAGGTGGCTTTAACGACAGCACAGTCAGCTACGGTTATTCTAAAAAGCTTTTTTTGGCATTTGGATGAATGTGGAGATGTAAAAAAAATTATTGAAGTATATGCTTGTTTTATTATAACAATATTCATATTAAAACATGTTTTTTCTCAAACTTTCTAATCAAAAGCAAATTTGTAATTGGTAGAGAAAACTATATCCATATTTGATGGGCTCCACAGAATCACAGGATTTATCACACATGTGATTGGTCGGTGTGTCTCCTGGACAACGGAGTGCCGTTATAATAGAAGCGCTCTGTCAAAATCTAACAATGATCCAGAGTGCAGATAGAACGGGGCGGGGGGGGGCCACGTTTGTCTATTGGTGAACCCACATCCTGTTACTTGCTACGCGATGTGTCTATTGGAGGTGCTCACCCCGTCCACCAGTTCCAGCACTTCCTTCAGGACCGGGCCGGTGGGGGAGAGAAAGCCAGAGCTGTCCACCACCCAGCTGGTAGAGGTCATTTCTCCCGCGGCGTCCGCCTCCGACTTGGGGCTCGAGCCTTCCTTCAGGGAGCGCGCGGCCTTTGGCGGCGCCTCTTCGTCGAGCTCGGCTTTAACCGCGATGGCGGCGGGCGTTTCCTGCACCCGGGGTAAAAATAAGACATCCATATCAGTGCTGACATCCAAAACATGATAACGGACGTGTGACACGGACGCTCAGTCCGTCCAGTATGGAGATTGTCACACTTTGCAGCGGTTTGCTCACCAGAGGAAGCGTCGCATTACCCGGATCCTTTTCTACGCCTTCTTGGGAGCAACCGGCAATCTGTGTATTCACAAACGTATTTTTAAATGCTCCTTCGCCCATCTAAGGGGAAAACCTCACAGGAAGAAGATAACCCCACCTGCACATCTTTATTCACGCGGTCCAACAGCTCTTCAAGTTCGTTGGGCCTGAAGACCTCGCCGGCGTAGAAGCCCATCTCTAATTTGCGCTTGATGGTGGAATTCCAGTGGTTCTTGACAGCGTTATCCGTCCTGCGAACACAGACCGCAGGGCGTGAGTCCCTTCGGATGGAGGCTTTTTGATGGGGAAAAGTCAGCCTCCTGGCTGCATTTACCTTCCGGGGAGCAGTTTGGCAATCTCAGCCCAGCGGTTTCCCAGCAGGCAGTGAGCCTTGTAGATGATGAGGTCCTCCTCGGCCGTCCACGAGGATTTCTTCACATTGGGATTGAGGTGGTTGTGCCATCGCTCTCGGCACTGCTTCCCCAGTCGGCCCTTCAGTTGCTTGGCGACCATCGCCCACTGCTTGTTGCCGTAGAGATTGACGAGCTCTATCACCTGAGGGATAAAGGGGTATCCTAATTGGAGTCATATTTTCAGTGCCCCCACCCCCCACCGTGCAGCCTAACGAGTCATTTACCTTTTCGTCCTCCTCTTTGGTCCAAGGGCCTTTGACCAACTCTGGATCCAAGACCTTCGACCATCGGTGCTGACACTGGTGCTCGGTGTGATTCTGAGCACCACAAAATAAGCTTGATTTAGATATTCAAAATTCAAAAATAATAAAAGAAGCCCCCAAAACGTACTGTCAACCACAAAATAAGGGACAATCCAACTCACTGGGATGCTGTTGGCAATATATTTCCAATCATTGGATCCCAGCTTTTGAACCAGCACCTTGAGCTTGTCGTCCTGTTGACAAACAAACAAACACGTTTATGTCCCCCTGTACTACACAGCCTTTATTTACATGGACGGAGGGGACGGAGGGAAAGGGGGGGGGGGTGAGCAGTCATTGAGACTACATGCAAATTACTGGGGACGTGTCAAGACAATCACCTCCTCTTGTGTCCATTTCACCTTCACTTTCCCACCGTCTCTCTGCTCTGCCACATCGGAATCGGTGTCCTGCTGCATGGCCTCGTCTCCGTCCTCGCTGAGGAGAAGAAAACAGGCCGTGATGTGCAACAATACAGATGACAGCAAAGGCAAAGAGCAGCCGGACATCTCCCTGCGGTGTGGCGAGGACGACCGGATTAGCAGGTTTATTTCTACGCGGCGATCCGCACTAAAAAGATGTCAAACGTGTGATCGTATCAGCGACATGGACGGATTCTTGAGATTTAGTAGACACGGAGCGGCTCACGTTAACTTCAATACTGTCCTTTTTTTTTTTTTTGTATCGCCCGTCTCCGGAAAAAGGGCGGCACACACAAGGGTCCGTGAAGTACTCACGAGTGGAAAGATTAATTTTAAAAGCAAACTTTTCACCAGGCCGAACGCCAACTAGCACCGTGACGTCACAAATCAATGTTATACACATGTGGAAGATAATTAGTATTGTTTAGGCTACGACAAAAAAAATCATATTTATATCTTACCCGCGCGGCCACCAGGACATTTCCCTCTGTTTCTGTTGTTTACGGTCAGGCGGGGATCGGTCCTGCGGCCGCTGTGCGTCATGTGCACGTGTATCTGCTATTATATCGCTGTATTCCGCGCGCCTGTCGTCTCGGCGAGGCTCGGTGAAGGTGGTGGAGGCTCTGTGAAGGTGGTGGAGGCCCGGTGAAGCCAGCTGCAGCGGAGCGCCACTGTAAGTCCGCGCTCCTGGGTTTCTATCTCGCGCCCTTCTCCCTCGAACGCACCGGGAAGTGACGTGGTGCGCGTAGGACATGCGCGTGAGGTCAGAGGGACGCCGTCAAAATAAAAGCTCAACTGACCAGCGTGTCCCGCATAAAGATTCGTGTAAAGGGGTTATTTTATCATAGTACTTCTAAATAGTATGTACTAATTTTTGATTTTGTAACAGAATAGAACATAACTTCCAATGCAAGAAAAGTTAATGTAACTCGTTAGTATTAAACATTATGCTATTGCTTTGATAGAAGATAGAATCCAACCAATTAAATATTAGGAAAATTAAGTCAATTACCAATCAAAAATACTAAATATTTTCTAAAACTTCTAAAAAGGGTAGATTTGCTTTTTCTCCCGTTGTTTCAAAGATTTAAAAACTGATAGGCATTTAAAAAAAATGTTTATTGGGTATTTTGGAACACAAAAATGTACAGTTAAGTTGTTTTAAAACACTATAGTCAATATTTTTGTGTATAATGAATTTAGATCATTCTTATCTTGCCCTTTATTATTCATTTGTCCACAAGGAAGTGCTCAAAAAAATTAACAAGGTGAATTAAAACGCAAAACGTAGTTCAAATAACATTTTATTTAAAGATTAAGGGAATAAAAAGTAATCATGACCTTCACCAGGCTGTATGCTAGACCACCTCCCTTTGGACTGATGACATGCTTTGTCACCAGCTGGGTCGATTAACAATCAGCTTGAACAGGCTAAAACCCAGCTGTCAATCAGTCAACGCTCACTGGCACAAGGAAGCAATGGAGAAGACGTTTGTCATTAGAGGTAAGAAAATTACTTTCATTCTCACGGTACAATAATCATTCCTGTTCACTGGTCAGATGACGTGACGTTGCTCCTTTATTTCTTTCGAGGTATGAAAAGCTTTGAGTGTTCGTCGCTGTCGGAGCTCGACAGGAAGTTCTTTGGGGAACAGAGTTTGCCCTCCGCTCTGTCGCTGGAGCAGCTGTCCACGTCCAGAGTGTCCAACGACACCGCGGCCGACGGATCTGACTGCAGGCCGTCCATCCCGGCCTTGCTCAGCCTGTCATCTGACCCCATATCTCCCTCTCTGGGGTCTTCAATGCCCACCATGACCACTCAAGGGACTGGCTGTCACCTGGCCGTCCCTTTGCAGGGAAAGTCCTCCACTCCCCAAGTCCTCTTTAGAAGACAAGAGAAAGCCGCTGGTTTTGACCGGTCGTACGGGGATCTCACCGCATCTCAGATGTCGTGGGACGTGTCTTTGATTAAATCTGACAACAGCCCTAAACTGGGCCTCGAGTCCAGCGCTCTGGACTCAACATGGAGTCCAAACCCCCACTCCAGACATCATTCACTAGCTGATGTGTCTCCCTGACGTGGCCGAGAATGTCCCGCAACACACACCTACACACCTGCATGGGGGAAGACGTCTGAGGGCCTTCGCCTGATCTGGATTGTGTCCGCATCCACCAACGTTGAATCAAAGTGGACTTCATGTGGTCAATCTTGTGTTGGTACATTCTTAAATTCAATGTAGCTCATGACTTTTTACAGGATCCATGTGTAACTGTTCATGCAGGGTGCTGCATACAGTCAAATGTTTTTTTTTTTTTTTTTAATCTTTTTATTTCACAGATTTAAATAAAGTATCAACCTCACTTGCTCATATTTTTTTCTCTCTGGGGACCAATGGAACGCTGGATAAACCGGTACTTTCTAAAATGCAACAGCACCCATGTTGATGCTGAAAAGTATTTTGCCTCCTAGGGAAGAAAAGTCTCATCTGCTTAAACGTGTTGCAGTATGACCGCAGGAGAGAAATCTTTAACCGCTTTGAATCCAATCACCACGACGTGAATGGCTGTGCCTATGTGTCGGCGTCCTGTTCCTGCAATGGGGGGGGGGGGTGAGTGTATTTTAGATCAGGCCATTGATGCACATGTTTTGAAATGAGTCTTGAGATTCTCACCTGATTGAGTTTCTTGAACTTTACAACCTGGAAGAAAATGTGTTCCAAGATGTGCTTTGCATCAGTCTGATCTTTATCCAACTTTGGCATCACCCCCAGAATTTCCCCACACTTCCGCACGTAGAATTCCAGATCATCGTCCGTACCTTTTTTGATGTTTTTTCATAAAAACAAAGACTTCGTTGACAGGCTGGAAATGCTTGTACTATTTGAAGTAGGGTTGTATGGGATACTTCCTTAGTCATGTATAATCTACAGAACATGGAGTTGCTGATTCCAAAGCCATCTACTGTTTAGTTGGAATTTTGTGCTTCAAGGGGTTAGTTCTCCCTGCTGCTGCAGCAGTAGACCAGAAAGGTCTTGAAAGGTTGTGCAGGCTAAAATGACTGGTTTTGTCAGTCTGGAATTGAAAAGCTCATAGATTGAATGGATCTTTCTCTTTCAGGTGTTGAATTTTACATTTTGGTGCTGGACAGCAGAACAATGTACAGACCACTGACTATGGATCATCGGCCTACCTCATACGACCCCATTTCAAGAAATCAGAGCTTCAACAGACCGTAACCGGTTAATTATTTAGCTTAATAAAAATAAAAAAAGGTCCAAACTTACATTTATTGGTGAGCTGCGCTAGACGAACTTTCTCAGAGGAGAACGATTCGTCTAAATCGAACAGGTCCAGCATGGGCGGAGGCAATTCGCTTAAGGCAGGGGGAAAGACCTAAAGACAACGGCACACCCACCATAAAGAACGTGGGCCTCAATACAACACGTCTGCTCCCTTAACATCTCAGCTGTGACTCTAAAGCAGGGGTCTTTGGCAAGTAGTTAGCAGGGTACTAACGTGTTGGATCAGTCACTGCGTAAACAAATTCCCAGCGGAGGTTTTCTGACCCTGTTATTTGGCAATCAGCTGTCTAACACGTTGGGCTGCTTTCCAGTTTGGTTAAATTAGGGATACTCAAACATTAGGTCGGTGTTTAGACCAGCAAGTGATCTGACCAGAGAAAACAGACTGGCCAATAAAAGTAAAAAATATATACTATTGTCATGAGAAATCCATTTGTTGTGTTTCACAAATGAAAGTTGGTGAAAAAGTTGGATAAATAGGAGTAGTTCTCAGCCACTTTCATCTGGTCAAAAAAGCTTTCAGAGGGGGAAAAAGGTTCTAGTCTCCGCCTCAAGGAATGACGTATGACAATTGCATTTTTGGAAAAATCCTGAAGTGAATGAGGACTGAAACTTACAGCCGGTTGGAGCTGAGGCAGCGGCGTCTCAAACTGTGGCGTGATCAGCTGGAGGGGCTTGTCTTTCACGTTGAGCTGCTTGTAGGCACTGGCGAAACATTCGTTTTTCATTTTTAGCCACGAAGAAATCAAAGCAGCAACGCAAAAAGCACGGCCTTCCCGGCAGTTCATCTGGCACTCCCACCTGACGACTTGGGGCAAAGTGTCGGTTGACATATTGAACAGCGACCTGTCGAAGAGAGACGTGAAGTCTCGGGGGTTTTCGTCGCCCTCCTGTAAGCACACCCTGAGCTGCTCTGACAGACACCCGATGTCCGGCAACATGGTGTAATCTGTGATCTAGAGAGCACAGGATGGTGGTTGTTAATCAACAAAAGGCAACACGAAGGGGAGGCCCTTCTCCTGTCGAGTGTTCCTCTCACCTCGGGGTCTTCTGCATCGATCTGATTCAGATGGATATTATCAGCCATGAGCCACTGCAGCACCACATCCTGCAATGAAGCAGAAGACCGAAGGCTGTTGGGTGCAAACGTCCCACAGGAGAGCAGCGTAACATGTTAGCAGACACGTTGTTTAATCCCGACGGGACTCACCATTATTTTACTGTTCTCCTCTTTGTCTATGTATTGGTCACTGAACATATGGCAGGAACCCGACACTACAAGTTTGCCAGCCTCCTGCGTGGGACACAAGAAGTCATCCTCCCACAAGTACACGTGTGTGTGTGTGTGTGTCTTACACTGCCAGGGAATAAGCATGAGAACTACGGGTGGCCTCTGACCTTTCCTTGGTGGAAGGCCAGGACGGGCCTATTGAGGGGGAAGCAGACGGAGCCAGTTGAGAGAACGGCCACAGCGGGCTTCATCACGCTCAGCGTGGCGCCGTACGGGTACACAAACGTGAGTGCCCTGCAGGAGCGACGACGGGAAAGCGGCAAAGTTCAAACACCCTGCGGGTCACTAAAAGAGGGTCCTTGGTGGTGAAGACGGATGTATGTTAGTCAATCATTTACCGTGCGTTGTTTCCAACATTTTCATCTTCGATGACGCCAGTCACCTCTTTGCCAGCAGCCCGGCTGATCTCTCTAAGCGAGGGAAAGGAAAGTGCAGCTTGGCAGCTTATCGATTTCTCGGGAGTACATTTGTTACAACTGAAAGCCGATACACGCTACAGGCTACAAAGAGAGATTTTTTGGATCAGGCAATATGAAAAGCGGGTGTGTGAGCAACAAAAAAAAAAAAACATTCTGGGATGGAAAACCTGTTCAATACACCGTCGGACACCAGCGCCTCCTTTGGGTGGAAGTATTTGTAGTACACATTTCTCATGACGGCATCTGCAAAAGGGATGAGGTGAAAAGAAACAAGACACCGTGGAATTCAGTGAAGTTGTTACGCAAGGACCCGCAAGCCGTCAATCAAACTCATTTAGTACGCACCATTGTTGACCATTATGCCAAACTCCTCCAGGAGAAAGTTGATATTGGTGTCGTACTTCCTTTCCCCTCCTTCACCGAGCAGGACCAGGACGTTTCCTCCTCCGTCCAGGTACTGCTTCAGCACCTCCATCTGAAATGAAAAAAGGGGACGACGCTCGCTTGTGTTGTCAGAACTTAACAGCAGCGTGTTAGAAGTTGGCGCTCATGTGGCTGGAGAGCTCGCAGCATCTCGCACACAAAAGTGCTGTTTGGGGGAGATGTGAGAGCCCGCTGTGGTTACTTTTCACAGTACGTCACCTCGGAAGCTGTGAACTTCTCTCTTGGTCCAGCGGTTATCCACAACTTGACGCCCCTCAGCTTCTCCAAAGACAGCTCCTCCTTCATACTGGGGGGGAGAGAGCATTAGTTTGGTACCTGTGGGGAGGGAGGAGTGTTCTCAGAGATGGTTCACGTCGCACTGAAAGCACTTTACCTTTGGATTTTCCATTGAGCTCTCAGTATTTTCTGCATGGATTTGTAGCCGTTATTCGAAGTGAACCGCTCTCTCTTGGAAACATTGAAGACCACAGTGTTGTGCACTTCCTTCTCCATCCTGTAAATACATTCACCAAACAACGTCAAACGGGTGGCGCGTGAGAAGATGTGATTCAAGCACTTTCCGTTTGACACTAACCACCAAAGTGCATCTTTAAGTGACACTGAGCGGAAAACTCATAAGGAAATACTTATTAACGTTACATTGCAACTAACGTTCGTTGTGAAACTAGCACTCAGTTAGCAAACATTGCTAGCATAGTAGCAGCTAGCCACCGCTATGCTACGTCGTTGGCCCTGTAGACTTACCTCGCGTTGCTAGGCGACGTTTGACATTAATGTGTATAGTTTCTATCCATCTGCTATCCAACTAACGTTATGAGATTCTACCCGTGGAGCTGCGGTCTTAACTAACGTTACCGTTATATCAAATGATCGGTGTTGCCTAAGTTACCTCACAAGGTCTGCTAGCCGTGATGCATGACGGGAGGAAAGTGGTAACCAAGGGCGCTAAACGCATAACAACCAAGAAGCAGCACCGGAGACAAAGAAGGAAAACTATGGAATTGACTCGTTTTACGTTCGTTAATACGGTTGATGCCACGTTTATAGATTCATCTATAAAGTACTCTTTACTTTGGGACTTTAGGCCAACGATAGCGGTGGATCTTTTTTTGTTTGGTGTTGATACTTATGACAAAAGAAAAAGAAACAGGCTTGTTTTTGGAACTTGTGTTAATTCTGCACATACCTTTTGCGCTTGGAGGAAGATTGAGAAGTTCAAAAGAGAGCTTGCTGGTATAAATCTGTTATTTCTCAGCTTCATCCTGAATATTTGGATTTTAAAATCTGACACTTCTGCCCCATTCAGCTGCTGTGCAGAAATGATAGAAACCCATTTATGCTTCATGAAAGTCATACCAGATGCCATGATCCATTATGATAGCTTTATTCACAATGACTTTACAGAAATAAACCCAATACATGAGTATAAATTTCATAAAATTGTTTCAAAATACAAAAAATACATTTCAATCTGTGATACGCAGACACTGGACATGTGCAATCAAAAATTTGTTTGTTCAGCACATGGTATTAAGATTCAGATCGATCGAAAGTGGGACCTGCAGAGGAGACCAAAGAGCCATCTTCATATGTCTCTCCATTATATATTATATTCATTCCATCTTCAGCCTCGTGTGGCAGAACCTACAGGCCCTCAAAAGCAAATACCGTACAATAGTCCAGACTTTCTTGGCTAACATTGTGTCCAGCCTTTACGCATTATGCACTTTAAGTCCCCCGCCTTGTGAAAAAAATAAACCAAGAACCACCTGCACAATTTCATCCTGTCCTGCTCATCAATCATCTCCCCTTTCATACGTCTCTGCTGGAGGATCAGTCTGTACATTTTCCAGGCTTTCTTGCTCTCCCATGATTGCAATCTTTTCATTTTCAATTGGTAGATCAGGTTGCACATTTCCTCCCCAATAATTTGTTTTTTTTTCCAATCAATACTTGAGGATCAGGCTGTTCCTCCCCTTCGCTGTCCTTCTCTCTACATTCTATTAACGCGCTTTTATTCTCTTTGAAAGTCAGATCTTTACAAAATGGGAGCGAGGGTGCGGAGGGGCACCCGTGTGTCAGCTGCTGGTATTGTTGCATTTAAAAAAAGGCAGGTACACTAGTGTTAGACCATGCAAGTTTCTACTTTGTTGAACCTTCAGGTCAGTTGGAAACATTTGGGAACCGTTGGAATTTCAAAAGTTTTTACAGTAGAATTAGATCATTCATATTCGAGCATGAACTTCACTATAAGAATACTAACAAAATCGATCCATTAAAAACCTTTTACAGTGTTTATTAAAAAACATTAGATTTTTCCTAATAAATTATCTTCTGTAAATGTCTTTATTATAAATTAAAACATTAGTTTTAAACAATATTTATGATTTAGTTACAAAAATATGGTAAATCTCATGAATGTGCTTAAAGTTTGCTGGACTCTGTGACTTCTTTCACTCTCAAGACCCCCTCCTGGGAGCACGAGGCGGCCAGCACCCCGTCTCTTCTCCACAGTCGGCCCTGGATCAGTGCTCTGCTCCCCCCTGTGGGACACGACACAAACCACACGCGGCAATAAAGATTAATAAAAGAGTGTGAACATTTGAATAGATGTTGTAAAATTGAAAACAATTCCAAATTTGAGTCTCCCTATTGTTAAAACAACAGCTCCTTGGTGGCGCAATATCACACTTCTATCTCCATTTAACATCCCATTCACAATCATATTCATTGCTTCATGGCTCTATTGAACAGTTCATCCTCATTTTGATAAATGCATGCGGACATTTCAAAGACATTGAGGTGGATCTCCACAAATAAGACGTACGCAGCGCAGCTGAGGGGGGAGTGACGGCCACACTGACCTGCCCAGGGGCTCTCGCACTCGTACAGCATCCACTCGTCGGCGCGGAACGTGCTGTGGAACCACATGGCGTGGTCCAGGGACGCCGAGAAGTGGGCCCTGTGGTTGGGGTAGGGCAGCAGCGCCGTGCCCAACAGCGCAAAGTCGGACACGTAGGCGGCAACGCAGCAATGCAGCTTCATGTTGCCTTCGCCTGCGGGTGTGTGGGAGGGGGGGGGGAAACAAAGGAAATGCGTCATTAAACATTAGACACATAAAACAATGAGGATACGAGACGTGGTGGAGTGGTTTTCAAAGAAAAATTGGAATCTAAGCAGAGAAATTGGTTGTGTTTGTACGTCCTAGTTTTCAATGCTGCACCTTATTTAGGCTTATTATGGGCTTCTTCATCACCATCATCATCATCATCATCATCATCATCATCAATCATTTAACATCCCCATAGACTCTTAGCCTACAGGCACATTTAAACAAGAAGAATGCAGACTGAAGGCTAAGCATTTCTAAGAATACCTTTCCTTTCCCCAGAGGAGCAGAAATCAGTCAACACTCGTGATGCTGAAGGTCACTTGGTCTACTTTACCGATGTGTCCTCGCGCTCGCACCCAGAACAGCTTCCTGGGCTCGCTTGCAGCGCGCGTGAAAGAGTGTGGGGGGTTCACTGGCTTGATCTCGATGGGGACCTCGTTGGCCAGCAGCTTGTTCAGGCCTTGCTTTGATTTCTCTGCCAAGTCTGGTTTACTGTGGAGCAACACAAGGAGATGCAGATCCCGATCACGAAAGTGACAAGTAAAACTGAGATATGAGCAAGTTTCTCCAAATCTTAGATTCATTCAATTTAAATAGTGCCTTCTAACTTCCCGGCACCTAAATGTTGGAATCAACTCCCCAATGACTTCGGGACAGCAGAAAGCCTATACAGCTCCAGACGCAAACTAAAAACACACCACTGCCAACTATACCTGGGATATTTAGCACTTCAATAGCACTTTGCAGTTTGGCTTTCTTGAAGAAATGGTACTTTGATTCCACACGACAAACACACGCGTCAAATCTCAACATCAACCAATCAACCAGCGGACGTTTGGAATGAATCGAGGACAGAAACACAACACAAAAGTGTTAACACAACCCCAGTGAGTTTACCTGAGGTAAAGGTGAATGAGCTCCTCCACGGTGAGCAGGTCTTCGGGCTGCGGGACCTGCGGCATGGTGAACTGGTGCTGCAGGGGACTCGGCTGCTGCATGTGGAACGAGGCCTGGCACGTGAGGATAGGCTGCCCGTGCTGGACCGCCTTCACGGAGCGCACCGCAAAACTGCGCCCGTCTCTGGTGCGCTCCACCTGGTACAGCACCGGAACCTTAGGATCCCCTGAAGAAAAAAGGGAAAAACCCAAAAGACATATGTGGTGAAAAAACGGCGACTCACAGTCAATTCACGAGATAATCTCATGGATTGGCATACGAGAAGCCTTCGGTCTTTTCATTCAACTCATAGATCTACGAGCCCCCCCACCTCTTTTAAGAAAAATATTTGGCCAGCACTTTAAAGACCGCCTCGTCTTACCCGCTCGTACAAAGTAGCAGTGGAGGGAATGGGCGAAGAGATTGTCGCCGACGGATTTGGCGGCGGCCACGAGGGCCTGGCCCACGATTTGGCCCCCAAACAAACGCTGACTGCGGGGCACCCAGTGGTGCGTCCCTCTGGGGAACAGAGAAGCAATAGAAAAGAAATAGACATAGTGTGGTCTCACTGAACATGACCTCCACTGTATTCACAAGGGTCTTGAGTTCATTGGGTGGTCCTGTGGCAAAATGCATTACCATCCTATACAGCGGCCATAAAATGCATCCCGTCTTTGAGGATTTATTATTTCAACCCTCAATGGTGTTTTTATAGCTCATGTTTAATGACACACTGCGCTTTGGCACTAGAACACCGGGAACTGGAAGTTGACGTGTTATTAAATCAGACACATTGGAGTTTAACAACTTGTTAGAGTGATCGGTACAGTTAAGTAGGCAGTCAGGTCAACCGTTCATTTCCTAATGTGAATACTACACACTTACAGGTATCAAAGGGCAACCAGATTTCAAAGGTGAAGTATGATAAGCGGTTCGAATCCCACGAGTTTGGTCTTCGCCCACACATTGAATCACAAGTTGACAGTCATCTGTGAAGCGATCGACCGGATGTTTATTTCCTGGTTCTTCGACGCGGATCCCGGGAGGCCACGCCCACCGCACATCTGCCTCGCGCACCCCAAAAAACCCAGTTTATTTAAAACTCGGTTGTTTTGTCGCACCGGAAGCTGTCGCGTCGGGGAAGTGACAGCCGGTTACCTGTACAGGTCCACGTCGAGCTCCTCCAGGTTGAGCACGCTGGTGACCAGCACGCTCCTGAGGTCATTTTGAGGGGAAGCTGTTGTGTGGTCACTCTCGCCGGCATCCCTCTCCGCCATGTTTCTCCTTCTTTTTCTTCTTCTTCTCCTTATCCAACTGCTACTACTTCTTCTTCTTTGGGCTTATCTGAGGTTGGCAAACAACGAAGAGAGGAGCAGTTCTGCCACCGGCTGGTGTGGCATGTGAGGTGTCTGATACTTAAATAAAATAACATGAAAACATTTTTTACCTTCTTTCTTCATCATATTTTTGTAACAGTGTACACTAACATGATCTGCATGGTTGCAGTTAGTTAGTTAGCATATTTTTACGTTTTATATTTGCATAAGAACTATGTGAACAACATAATCATTGTATTCCAGCAAATTAGTAGATTGAAGGCATGTCAATCATTATGCAAGCTTAACAAGAAAGGGTCCCACACCAATGTTACAGTGAAGACATGAAATAGAGTATTACCAATGTGTTCACTTGGCTTTCTGGTTGCTATCTCCAGTGGTATGATTACTGTTTGTCCATGGTTGACCTTTTTACTCTCTGCACCAAATGACATTATCTTTTGAATGCCAAGTTATGGCCGCATGCTCAACCACCTAACGTTATTGGACTGACTCACACTTTCCTAAACACGTTGCAGTACCTATTTTATATTATCATTGAATGCCTACTGCGTCCTCACTCATTACTCATAACCTGTCACAGCCATTTAGGGGTCGCTAGCAATAACCACAGACGGAAGGGGATGTAGCCCATGCAATGTCACCAGTTGGTTTATGGACTGCTGTTTGGAGTGAAATGAGTTTATTTAAAAAATATTTACACTTGACTCATCCTGTAAACCAGGTACTGTCAAGACTATAGGGGGGTATTGATGGAAAGTTTTGCACACATTCATCCATCATTTATATTTTTTAAGTATTGATTTATGTTGCCTGGATTTGAATACTTCTTTAAAACATTGACTGGTTCAACCATTAATTAAAAATATATAGAATATTCCATTTTAAAACCCATTTTCATTTTTTTATTTTATACGGAGAATACTACCTTTACAAACGCAAAGTAAATACAAAAAGAAACATACAAGTATTCAAAAAAGAAATATTAGAAACTATAATTACACACTAAATTGACTGAAAAATGGTAAAGCAATGAAAACAGTAACACGTTTCTCATAACGCATGGGATCCTAATTCTACGAGATCTGCGTCCACTTCAGTAAGTGACTGGACATAATTAGTCAGCCAAGTACAAATACGCACCGTGTTTGTCGTTCATTTATACACGTTTGTAGACGTATTTTCCGACATGTGTTAGTAAATTATTACTGGTGATTCCGTTCAGATGGAAATTCTCTTTTAAAATTCCCAATTTTTCTTATTTTATTCCAGCATTTATTCCAGCATTTATTTATACTTGTCATTTTTTTCAAGCGGACGTGACTCCAACGTTGCCTTCAATGGCTGTAGGACATGTTGCAATCATGTCTGAGCGCAAAATTTCTTAAAAGGAGCGAGCCTCAACGCCCCAAAACACGCAATACAGTCCAGCGAACAGCATGTTTCTTTTGCTCCTTTGCACACGTGTAGTGTAGTTTGTTGTGCATACATCGGCAACCAGTGTGGCGTCTGGAGCCTGGAGTTTTCTGTGGATAGAAGAACTTCTCATTTTAGTTTTTCTCTCAGGCTAACTGCTGACAAATCAATGATGTGACTAGAACCGTATATTTCATCTGATCCCATGGCTGTCACACCGCGGCATCTCTTTAATTAGTGTAATGGTAATTAGTCTAATCCCAAAGAGACGGGAATTTGAGTTCGGATAACAAAAAACAGGTTTTTACGAGCAGCCCCTGAAGGGGACATTGTGACGCTGCGCGCGTAATGGATTTCCCCAGCACTGCTGCGCTGTCGGGGACCGGGAGCTGCATCTGCAGCAGCAATCCGGCCACGTTAAAAACCCGCTCCTCCACTTGATGCCGGTGACCTTGGCCGGCGCCGATCACGCCCCTCGCTCTTGTAAATATCTTTCTTTGCCTTTCCCGTTGCCATGGCATCGCAGGACGGGCTGCAGGAGGATCGCGTGGTGCAGCGGGGGAGATCTCAGAGTGACCCGAGCAGCATCACCGAGGTCCGCTTGGGTGAAGCGCACAGAGCAGGTAAGAGGAAGGGGAGGGGGCAAAGGGGTGACACATGGCCTGTGATCATTAGTTTGTGTCTTTTACGCAGGTGGCAGTTGCATGGGATGGGGGTGGGGATGGTGGGGGCGGGGGAGAGAGGGGGGGGGGGGGGGTTCCGCCAGCGGCCGATCCCAATGAATTCGCATGCAGCAGACGTAGGATGTGTGTGAATCGTGCGTCATTCACCGTCCAGGAACGTTGGCCGCTCGCCGCCGCTGACCTGTGCTGCAAGGCCTTGTTTCATAATAACGTATAATATAATGTAATAATCGAGAAGGATGTGTCATGCAACATGGGATCCAACTGGTGTCATACCAGTCCGTGTTCATGTATTCAGAGCATGCATACATTTTCTATCCAGTGGTATATAACACTGATCAAGTTCATTCCTCTCCACACCCTCAGACTGCAAAGTGTCAGCTTTGATCAAACATAATTGTAGCAAAAATTAAAACCTGTGTGAAAACTGCATGTCCTCCTTGTACGTTTCATAATCTTTTTGGATCAGTCTTTCTCTTTTTTTGCAGCAGCAGCGCGTGGAAAGACGTAGAACTTGCCATCGCGCATTGGCCCCGCGGCGTGTTGAGGTAGAAGCTGATGAGAGCGCTGGCTGTGCGTTTGGTTGTTTCCATGGCGATTCCAAATGGCAGAAGGCAGTGCTTGGCTCTCCAACTGTGAGCCGACATGGCCGACACGTTGTTAGTCTGCTCCCCTCACTGATCTTCCCTTCTCCTTTCTCTTTTTCCCTTTTCCCACTAAACCGTGGTGATGTACAGCAGCCATCCATTCAACGCCGAAGGCCCCTTTAGACTGTGAATCGTGTCTATTCGCATGGGATCTCACGCGCCCAATGCCCCCCTGCCCCCCCTGCCCCCCTTCCCTCTCCCCAACCGGAGCGTTGCTCAACAGCTAGCGCGCAGGTGTGAGATTCACTGTTTTTGGTTTTCAACGGTGGTCCAAAAGCGCGATTAATCTCTCATTTTAACTCCAGGGCCCCTCGACGGTCGCCGCTGGCCCCCACGGGGCCTTCATCACTCGACAGTGTCAGCAGAGCCGAGATGAACAGGAGGAGCTGATAGTGTAGATGGAGCACCTTCACAAAACAAGGGGCTCGGTTACTGACGTGGCTGGAGGGGGTTGCAGGAGTCTAGGCTTCATAGCATCACTATCACTTCCACTTGTGTGTGTGTGTGTGATTTGCTCTCAGTTTGACAAGGATCTGGCTATCTTTAGATGCGCGACGGCCACATCGTCCAGTTATCTTGCCCTTGGCGGATGTTGTTGCCTTGGTTTTAGCATCCAGGGCTTGTCACGTTGCCCCCGTTGTTATGGTTACGTAACAGCTGTTGTATGTGTGTGTGCAACTCTGTGACAACCCTAGTGACCCGTGATGTATCCCGCCCCCCCACCCCTCCACACACACACACACACACACACACACACACCTCTAAACCCACCCGCAGCCCTGGCCCTACTGCGGCTTTGATCCGAGCACGAGAGGAACCGTCTCACGCAAAGCGTTGCCTCCTCCCCGGTGATGCTCGGATAGTGATGCAGGGGGGGAAAAGCTTCAAAGCGTTCTTTGGGGAGACGCGGTCGCAGGACAGAAATCACTTGCTGCATGTGCACGAGACACGAGGACTCACTTATTGCTTACAAATCAGATTCTCATGCCGCTCGTTTGCAGCGCCATAAAAAACGGTGACGCCAGCTTCACCCGGTTTCCCCTCCGGCTTGTCGGCTGGCACCGATCAGAGACCAGCGAGACGACAATGTGTCTTCTGGCGAATTGTAAGCGAGGGATGAGCGGCCACCTTGTTCAGCGAACGCCGGTCAATGTTACATCCCTGGCTCGGTAGGAGGTGATGGTGCAGGCGACACGCTTCGGTCGGTTAAACGTTCCAACGTTGGCATCTAGGCTGGCAAAACCAGACGGTCACTCCTCTAATCCAGAGAGAGACCTACGGGAACTTCTGCAGTCGGCTGGCAGTGAATTAATGAGATTTGGGGTTTTCTTGAAAATGAAACCCAGATTGTCCCAATGAATTGGTCGGGCTATCGGAGAACTCACATTTGTAATCCGTATGTTATACAGGCGGTGTGTCATTTCCTGAAAAGTATCCTCTTGCAACCGCTTTGAACTGAGCGTAAAGCTGCGATCGATCAATGTCTTTACTCGCAGTGATGAGACTGAAGTCTGTAGACCTCCTCTCTAACAACTCCTTGTTTCGGGTTTTATGGCCCACAACGTCACTGTTTCCCATTGCGGTCTCATTCTTATTGCACCAAACAGAAATTGTGTTGGATTCACATGGAATGTAGAAGGTAGATTGCAAAGACGGATGGTAAAATAAAAGTCCAATGGTGACATTATTGCCCCCATGGGCGTAGTGTAGTTTTCTGGTGCAATGAGAGACAATTGGCAGCATTTCTGACTCATGCTAATTTCATCCTCATAAAGCAACGTGGGGGAAACTTGCTCAGCTTTCGGCTATTTTACAACCTTATCGGTCATCGGACTGCTCTCGTTATTCAACTTATTCAACTGGTCAACCGGGGGTTACACTCTTATTGTAATAAATTGAAGTGATGACCAAAACACATCAGCCATTCAAATTTTCTTGCCTTTGCCCCCTCGTCTCCCTATTTGAGCTGTGGCAGTGCTACTAATCGGACATGCGTCTCTAACATGGAAGGCTCCCCCCCCCCCCCCCCCTTCTCCCACCCCTCCCAGCTACTGATAGGCCTTCGTTTAGTCGGCGTGTTCAGTCGGATGCGGCAGAGAGAGGGCCTAATGGGGAGATTAGGATTGCTTTCTTTGAAATCAGGGCCCCTCGTGTTTTATTAATCATGAAGCCTGTGCACATGAGCCTCCGAGCGGTGATCAAACATAGAGAACCGCAAACCTGGCTGCCGGCGGCTCACTCGCATGCTCAATTTCGAATGGAGCATGTGCATGGAAAAAAAAATCTCTTCACAGCCACATGAGTCATTTCACAGCAACTGCAGTGGGAGATGAGATGGGATGAGAGGTGTGCAACGCTGTAGAAAAAAAGAATAGGGCGATTTCACTCACACTGCACATAGTGGGCTATATACGGAACCGTCAGTCGGTAAAGCATTTGCCTATTTTCCGTGTCCAAAGTAAATTCCGAGCGTAGGCCGAGCTTTATGAAAATGTCTTCTAACCAACAGGAAAATAGTGAGAAAAGTTTAGTGATTTGAAATATCGTCATTTAAAATTAATTTTGATGTGTGTGTGTGTGTTGTAAGAGAGACAGAGCAAACCTTGTGTGTTTGAAAAATACATTTTTGCAGAAGAAGAGGGTTTTCAAAGGGAAACAAATTCGCATTAGCGTGGACGTAGCTCGAGGCTCTACAGCTGCTGAGAGAACTCATTTTAAAACACTTAATATGACAATGCATACATGGTACAATGCTGTATCATGCTTACCAGCTTACCTACGCTTGCTAGCATGCTAACATGCTAACATGTTCTAAAAAGAAAAGCACTTCTCGGGGCGACCGTTAAATTACAATTTGGTCCAAAATTGATTAATCCTATATCAAAAGTATATATTCTGAAAATAAAGTATATTTAGCTGAAAAACTGCAAGTAATTAGTAAACTAATTGGGATCAAGAGCAGTTTGAGCTGCCACAAGGGGGCTCTGCATGGCAGACGGAAAGATGTAGCACAGATGAGGTAAGCTGTCGCAGTCACTGGACACGAGGCCCGTCCAACGCTGTGCTCCGCACGGCGCCAGACAGGACACACGATGACTCGGCGTTACTCACCATTGTGTTCAAGATGAGTCGGAGATGAACCGTGCGACGTGCTTGAAATGAAGAGTGACTTTACCGATCCATGAGGGGCGTAAGACACCGTCTCCGCTCAACTCCGTGCTTCCTTAGAGCCGACGCGACTCCTCAAGTTCATTTATTTTAATCTTTTTGGAACTCACGTCATGTCAATTGAAAAGCGCAACATCTGAAAGCGGCGGTGAGGGGTTAAGCACGCGGAGCAGGGGTCATAGGGGTGAGAGTGACTAATCGAGCACCGTAGATGTCACTTTGCTGACACGGCAATAAGTTGTTCCATCAGCGAGTTTTACCCTTGAGTCTTTGGTGCAGCATTGATTCCGTCCTTTTATTAGCTGGCCCTCGCTCAGTGTTACAGCGGCTAATTCAAAAGCACCTTGTTCTTTTTTTTTTCTTTCTTCCTTTTTGTGCCGAGTCATCTCTCATGCCATCGCGCGCTGTGAGGTGTCCCCGGGTACCACTGACTGCAGAGCCCCCGGGTGCAAGAAGAGGCACAAACCATGACGTCACCCTCCACCGACGAAGGGAGGACATGAACACCACCATGTAGGGGACATGCATGCTGCAGATGCGGGGGCAGCGGTAGGAATACCCGAAATACTGAGGTCACCGAGCGGTGATGTGGCCCGTTAAGCGCCCTTCTTCTCTGTCGTGTTATTAAAGCGCGCGTCTTCTTCCCTGCTTCCACCGCCGAAGGCTGATCTGCTCACAGCGATGGACTGTTTATAAAAAAAATGGACGTACTCATTGTGACGTCACCCACCGGTCGGCATTTTGGCCTTTGCCATCTTTGATTTTGATGATAAACTCATCCATCCATGGAGGGGTGGATGGAATAAATCAAGTCAGAGTTTTTCTTTTGCAGCAGAGGAGTTGCACCCTGTTGGCCATTTGAAAGAATGCAGGTTTCCACGTTAGATCCACTTATCAGAAGCGATGGCTGCTTCCCGATCAGAGCGCGCAGTCTCTCTCTCTCTCTCTGGGGATCAACTGTGCACTTGTTACTGGACTAGAGATGGGGGTTCATGCTTTTGGAGCCGGCCTCCATGGCCGTGTGAGGAACTGCAGCGTTTTGTGTCGCGTTGGGTTCAATACTCTGCACTGACACCAAAACGTCCAGAAAATGAGTTGCTATCAGATATTTTTTGTTTTTGTTTT